TATAACTCCCTAGAAATAACCCCTAGGATAAGGTTGAAGACTTAAAGGATTCCACCTAGAATTCCTTAGGAAGGTGTTTTCCTCCAAGGTATTGTTGCATTTTACACTCAGCATTCACTAGAAATCACTAAACATCTTTGTCCGCTCTTTTTAGACCAAACCAAAGTCAATAAAACAACATTAAAGTAGACTAAAGCTTGGGAGCAAGAGAACTTCGTGGCTAAGCTAGTGGAGGAATTTGAGGTTTTGGAATGCATAAGAAAAGGGAGATGCTTTGGCATTGTGCAATTTTTTCATTAATATGGATAATTTGGTTGGAGATGAATAAAATTTTTTAAGAGAAAGAGGTGGTGAAGGAAGGATTATGGGATCGTATTTGCTTTTTGGCTTCATTGTGGGCTTCCGTCTCTAAGGACTTTGATGGTGTTCCACTCTTTCGTATTTTGGCGGATTGGAGGGCTTTATGTGCTCCTTAAGTACTTTGAGTTGATGTTGCTTCCATTCTTTTATTGGTTGGACATCTTGTCCTGTCAGTCAAATCTTTTATGCAATATTTTCAAATCAATAAAATTTTTGTTTCCTATAAAAAAAGGGGTAATTTTTGGTGACCACACAAAGCTAAAGAGTTTTGACTTATTGATCAGCGATAGCATAAGTTTTGATAAGGCTACAAATTTCAGTACAAGAAGGATGAGTGTTCTTTATAGGTAGACTTATTGGATTGAGTTTCATCATTCTCATGTGAATCCAAGTTGGTTATTGACTTATGGGGCTTTGGGGAAAAAGTAGGAAAACTTGTTTTCTTTGGAGAAGTGTGGTGTTGAGTCTGTTGACAATGTTCCGGGTACTATGGTTAGGGAGAATGCCAGGAATTTTGAAGCAAAGTTTCAGGATGACACTGATTTGTGGGAAAAGTTCAATTTTTGGTTTCTTTTTGAGTTTCAGTATCCTGAGTTTGATGGAATTCCTTTGTTCTTGATTTGAATAGATTGGGAAGCTGTTTATGAGATGGGATTTGTTTCCTAGTTGCTTATTTTTTTCCCTTTTGCACCTTGTTGGAATACTACTCATCCTTCATGTGTTTTCTTTTTGATTTGTTATAAACTTAATTCTGTTCCTGATAAAAAAGGTTTATATGAAGTCCAGAAGGCAAAATAACCATTAAAGTCTACCTAGAATGATTCGATATAACTTCACACTAATAATACCTATGCAAGTATTATTATCCATGTCCAACTATTATTGAAGTTACCTAAATATCCTCGACTCTCAGCCTCACAGAAAGTTTTCATTATCCTAACCACAACTAAACCTATAGATATACAAAAAGTTTGATTGGATTCAAGCCAATATTTGATTATATGATATCCCCAGAAGGCACTATATTACTCTTACTAATGTGCCCCTTTTCTTGGTCGGATGTTGCACGTCAATGTTATATCTTTGCTCTTGCTATCCTTTTTTACGTGTGCAAGGAATCTAGGGGAGTGATGTGGAGGTTCATATCATATGTTTGACATGACCGCTCATTGGTCCCAATGGCAGGGCCATGTTTTGACAACACATATTGCTTATCAAAAAAGAAAAAATCAAAATTCATCAGAACATATATTTACCCTGTCATGAAATGTCTAGCCACTTATCATCAGTAGTTGCTGGAATTTGCTAGGAAGAATCTTAACCATAATTTCATCTGCAACATGATTGATGTTTTTTTTCGTATGTTTAGGCAAACCTTTTTCTCTTAATAGGAGCTCAGAGTGGTGCATGTCTTTACCCCCTGCTTTGCCTCCCCTCTAGGTGTACAATTGAATTTTGGTGGTTCTACATGGGGAAAACATGTCGAAATGTTACTTGTTGATATCTTTAGGAGCCATTTGGTAGAATATAATATGTTATTCACCTCCACCTCCTCTCTGTGGGATGTAGTTGATGCCCATTTAGAATTGTTTTTTGGTGTTCAACTGAGGCTAATGCATCTTGGACTTAGTTACTGTCTTTGTTAAGGGACTGTTTCCAACTTTATTGGTTGAGCTAATGTCTAAGTATATAAATGCTTGAAAANGCGTACTATGGTTAGGGAGAATGCCAGGAATTTTGAAGCAAAGTTTCAGGATGACACTAATTTGTGGGAAAAGTTCAATTTTTGGTTTCTTTTTGAGTTTCAGTATCCTGAGTTTGATGGAATTCCTTTGTTCTTGATTTGAATAGATTGGGAAGCTGTTTATGAGATGGGATTTGTTTCCTAGTTGCTTATTTTTTTCCCTTTTGCACCTTGTTGGAATACTACTCATCCTTCATGTGTTTTCTTTTTGATTTGTTATAAACTTANGGGGAAAGAAGGAAAAGAAGTAGATGGTTGAAAGTACATCACTGGAGAAGTTAAGGACTCATACCTTCCTAGATCAAGAAAAGTAATGCTTGTGAATCTGGTGTAACGAAGGGCCTGGCCCCAATTACACCTAGGATTTTTTTTTTGATTAGTAACAAATTTTATTAATAATAAAATATATGTAGTACAAAAGAAGAATAAGGGTGGACATGTAGTCCAAACCTTATGTTAAACAGCCAAAACAGTCCCACCAGGGCAGCAGGCCCAAAACATAACAATAAAACAATCAACAACAAACAGCTTGTCAATTTCTCAAAATGCCAAAAAAGAGCAATGTTGTCAAACTCCTTGGTTGTAAATGCCCGAAAAGAAGCTAGGAAATGGATCCAATTCAATAAACCCTCAAATAGCTCACATTTATCCACAAAGATTCTTGCATTTCTCTCCATTCAAACCATCCACACAGTCACAAAAATTACACATTCCCAAAGAGTAACTCTCCTTTACTATTTTTTCTAAAAAAATGGAAGTTTGCAGAAAACATCGATGAAATAGAACTTTGAGCCACCGAAGAAAGCCCAGCCACCTCGAAACATTGATTTCACAAAGACCAAGCAATCGGGCAATGCAAAAATAAGTGATCCACACTCTCACAATACTTACTATACATAACACACCATTGTTGTAATAGGCATTTAGTTGGTCTTTCTTTTTTGGAGCATATCATTTGTGTTAATCTTACCCAGAGCAACCACCCACACACAAACTTACACTTTGCACTTTTTCCTTCCTAATTTTCAATGATGGATAAAAGATTGGGAGAGAAAAATTATTAATTAAGGACGAGTCAGGGATACAACATCTTTTATCCACATATCCATTATGTAAAGATATGTGACTATGCAGTGAAAGAAGGGCGATCAACTCTAAAGGTTTCCCATCATTAAGATTTTTACGAAACCTAAAATTCTATTGTGTAAGAATATGATGTAATCATTAAAGCAATAGGAACATGGTGATAACAAGAAAGATAGTAAAGACAAGGATATAAATGAGCCAAAATGATCCTCCAACCCAAAAGTCCTCTCAAAACCAAATTCTCTCCCCATTACCCAAAACACACTAGGTTTTTTTGAAAAAAGGAAGGTAATCCCGAGAATGAATTTCTATGGGTTTCAGAAACTACACCTTTCAACCCCATTAGCATCCCACTTATTGGCCTATAAACCATATTTACTTCTAATAACCATTGCCACAATGAATTTTGCTCCAACGGAAACCTTCAAAGCCTTTTCCATGTAAAGTTGTATTCCTAGCCTTCAAATTATCCACCGAAAGACCATCCATAATTCTAGGCCTAGACACAATCTACTAGGATTTTAGGTTGTGATACCCATAAGAAGTTGCATCACACATCATTAATAACTTGTACAAAAAAGGTTCTCCATTCACTATTCTAAAATGAAGTCAATCCATGGCAATATATATAGAGAACTAGAGATTGGAGATATATTCAATTTGGTTGCAAGTAAACCCAGTCAAATTTCGAGGCCAAGTAATACAGGAAGTTTTGGAACATTTTTGAACTTAGTAGGCCTTTTAAACTTGTCCAAAATTAACAACCCAGCCCACAATCTACTTCCAAAATTAAAAGGAGAAAAAAGATGAAAAAGTAAGCCTACAAGGCAAAAGACAACTATAGCAGCTTGTCCAACAGCCAAAATGAAATAACTAGAGGTTCTTAATGTAAGAACTTCACTCTTGCATAGACTAAATTCAATCAAAAGATTCTATTGAAAAAAATAACATTTGGATTGTAAGCACCAGACCATGAGTATGGTAAGAAGAGTACGCTTTGTTTGGAATGTGATGAAATGAAGATTAAGAGGGTAAATCCAGTGACTAATTTTCTCTTTATGAAAATAACATGAATTAATGGACTAATGGTGTATCGTACATTTGTTCCTTGGGCAAAGTGTTTCTACTAACCAGGTAGCAGGAGTGTCCTGCTAACCTGTCTCAGTTACACACTTGGGAGGTGGGGTACAGATCTTAAAAGAGGTGAAGTCTCAATTTCCCCTCCCCCCAACCAAAAAAAAAAAAAAACTCTTCCTTTTAAGGGGCTCCTAATCTTGGTGGTTGTCAGATCAACATAATGATATGAGTGCTGGATTGGGTTCTTAGTGCTGAAGTGCACTGTGTGTTCCCAGCTATAAAATCTAAGATAAACCTGCCTCAACTATAATCAGTCAAAAAATATGGCTATGTTTGCAAGTGACTTTGCGGTTTCTTTTTATGGGTTATCTTTACGTGATATGGATATTTGATTTGGAAAAGTTATAAGCTCTCAACGTGTTGATACTTCTGGTTATTGGAAGAGAAGGGATTGTGATTACTAATTGTTTAGAATTCATAAAGATGAAAACACATGCAAATCTGAGTTATTCTCCTATCTATATATTTTGCTTTGGAGGGTGGCTGTTCTTTTACTATAATCTGCTGCCAAACTAATTGGAGTCCCGTGCTCTGGTGCTCGACTGTTAACTGTCTTCAAATTAATATTTTAGCAGGAGGCTCCAGCTTCTGGCTTAATTTATGTTTTTGGGACAAACTCATTTCCTTCTATTCGTCTTCATCCTTATCTTCTTCTCCTATCATCGTTACTTTGATGGTGATTGAAGAAGCTTATGTCTTGTGTTCGCGAAAGGTGATTCATTTGTTCTAAATGATTGTCAGATAATTATTAAGTTTTATATTCTTTCCATTTTTTGCCTTTTTGTTGTTCAATCCTATTTATGAATACGAGTTACTGAAGAACATTGTCTTTACTTTTTTAAAAGGTTTTTTAGTGCCATTCTGGTTGTTATGGACTTCTTATATGCTTGCATGAGCTTCAACAGACAGTTTTTTCCATCTCTCTGCAGGAACAAGATGAAGACTGGGCTGGGGAAGGCTCCGATGAAGATGATAACAATGATGATGACGATGATCTGGATATTTCTGATGACGATGCTGAATTTAAGAAACGCAGGGGTAGACAACAAGGTAGGGGTGGACGTAGTGTTAAGTCTACAAGAGAACTTAAATCATTTACGTCATCTAGTCGAAGGAAAAAAGGCAGAATCTCATCTGTGGAGGAATATTCATCCGAAAAGAACTCAGAAAATGATAGTGATGAGGATTTTGGAAGTATGGCGAGGAGAGCTGCACATCTCCGCAGAAACAATGTTGGTCGGTCCACTTCTGCTAATATTTCTGGAAGGAACAGCGAACTTCGAACTTCAAGTCGTTCAGTGCGGAAGGTATCATATGTTGAAAGCGAAGAAAGTGAAGAAGATGATGAGGGAAAGAAAAAAAAGAGCCAAAAGGTGTGATCACATTGTTTCATTCACATTCTGGACTTCCCATTTCTTGTTTCTGTCTTGAGTTCTCGTGTTTTGCAAAAATGTTAGCTCGAGATTTCTATTTTGAAGCAATTCCACCTAATTTTGACTTCTTTGAGGAGTTGCTTTGGAGTGAATTTAGAAAGTTGTTAAGGATGGATTTTCATCTGGTGTGTTGGATTATTTTTTGACAGGCCTTGTGTTTTGACAAAATTCCAGGTTTTGAAGTGATCTCTTAAAACTTCACCTTCTATTATTTACTTGATATTCATGAAGCTAGCCATTTTGTTGTGTAAAGATGAGTTATTTCCGTTCCTAAAATATACCTTTGAACTTCATATGATTGTTCGTTTTGTAGTAAATGACATTTCACTTTATATGGTGAAACCAACAGTCAAAAACACACTTATGCAATAATCTCAGAGATGAAAAAAAAATTGAAAGTTCATGATGTCGAATTATTTCGAATCAGTCTTCATTTTATCAGGCCTGAAACATAATGTATATTACTTGAGTTTCTGCTTTCTGCTTGTGGAATCTCTTTAATAACATTGTTTTATGTTGAAGCTGCTTAGTGAATCGAATAATTGTAGGTTGTGGGATGGAGGAGTGAACTATGATTTGACAGTTAATTGCAAATGCAATAGGCTCTTTTAATGAAGCAGCATTGATTTTTTCTTGCGGTCGGGCATTTGAGTGTCAATTTTTTCCCTTTGAATTGAGCGATCTGGTGAATGGATTTATGTTTTTCCTTTCCCTTCTTTTCTTTGTGATCTACATTCATGTGTGTATATGCTTGTCTATACCTTGTGTACCCATCTGGTTGCTTGCCTTCCAGATAAGATCTTTTCTTGCAATCATGTGTTTTCCGTGTCTTTTATAATTGATTGCATAGTGAACTTTATGTGGAACTTCTGTCCCCTCTTAAAATTGTAAATTCTCATTTCANTATATTACTTGAGTTTCTGCTTTCTGCTTGTGGAATCTCTTTAATAACATATTTTTATGTTGAAGCTGCTTAGTGAATCGAATAATTGTAGGTTGTGGGATGGAGGAAGTGAACTATGATTTGACAGTTAATTGCAAATGCAATAGGCTCTTTTAATGAAGCAGCATTGATTTTTTCTTGTGGTCGGGCATTTGAGTGTCAATTTTTTCCCTTTGAATTGAGCGATCTGGTGAATGGATTTATGTTTTTCCTTTCCCTTCTTTTCTTTGTGATCTACATTCATGTGTGTATATGCTTGTCTATATCTTGTGTACCCATCTGGTTGCTTGCCTTCCAGATAAGATCTTTTCTTGCAATCATGTGTTTTCCGTGTCTTTTATAATTGATTGCATAGTGAACTTTATGTGGAACTTCTGTCCCCTCTTAAAATTGTAAATTCTCATTTCATCATTGACATTTTTTCCCCTAAAGGAGGAGATTGAAGAGGAAGATGGTGACTCAATCGAGAAGGTGCTATGGCATCAGCCAAAGGGCATGGCTGAAGAAGCTTTAAGGAACAATAAAACAACAGAACCTGTGTTGTTAAGCCATTTGTTTGATTCTGAACCAGATTGGAATGAGATTGAATTTTTAATAAAATGGAAAGGCCAGTCACATTTGCATTGTCAGTGGAAATCATTTTCTGAGCTACAAAATGTAAGCTCTCAAATCTTTGTGTTGATAATAGAAATCAGTTTTAGTTTGATAAATTGTAGCGGTACATATTTTATATTAATTTAACTATCTGTAGGAGGTCAAACTACTTCCTTTGCTTGCTCTCATCTATTGGCTGAATGCCTTTTGCCTTTTCTTTTATGGGTGCGCATTTGCAGCTTAGTGGTTTTAAGAAGGTTCTAAATTACTGCAAAAGGGTGATGGAGGACGTGAAGTATCGGAAGAAATTTTCTCGGGAGGAGGTAACTCGAACCATTAATTGCTTTGATTTTCAACCATTGCAAATTTCAATTCATTGAAGGAGAAGAAAGTAAAAAAAAAAAAGTTGTGGGATTTTTGTAGTAAATTAACAGAAAATGGTGGAAGGATGCCATTTCTGTTTTACAAAGCATACTGCGGTTAGGGGAAATATATTTTAGCCATCAAGTTCTCTTTCCATTCTTACAAATATCAAAGTGAGTGGGCAAGTACCCCCTCCCTTGGCTGGTTTTTTTTTTTTTTGGGGAGGGGAGGAGAAAGAAAAAGGAAAAAGGAAAAAGGTAAGTAAGTCAATGTTGCATGAGAGCCGGGCCTTTCAATCCTATTAGCTTTTATGAGACTAGAGGTCTTCAATCAGCATATGATAAATGAAAGGATTTTGTAAAGAAATAGCCCAAAAGATTTGGTCCAGCTTCCTGTTGATCCTAGTTTACAGCTCTTAATCTTTTGATTGCCAGGTAGTCCATATTTGGATTCCTATAAATTTCCATTGAAGCTATTTTGTTCTTTCTATAAAGTTTCTTCATTAGTCCTATCAAAAAAAATAAAAAATAAAGTTTCTTCATTGGGAGCAGGACAACACATCCCTGTCTCTGATATTGCCGGGTCTTAACTAGCCTAATTATGTGCAACAACTCTGAAAAATGGATAGCCATTGAAAGTGTGGCTTCGGTTCCAAGTGGTGCCATACTAGATGTATTCACACCCACCAGCTTGGAACACACCCCAAAAATAGGTTTGCATCAATGCATGTGTATGTGTATCTCACAAAATCCCACCCCCAGGAGGAGGCATTGAGCTTAGTGGAGGATAGTTGGGCCCGGGAGTTTGGGGCCTCTTATGAAAACATCTAGGGATTCCTGCCATTGTATGTTCTTTTTTTTTGATGAGAAACATGACAACGTTATTAATTCAAAAATGATAGAAATGATACGTCAAAGAGTAGTGTTGATGGAAAAGATATCCATCCATGAAAAGGGAAAAAAAGACAATCCTTAGATCATAAAAAATTATGTATCACATGAGGGCCCTCGAATCTTCCAAGATACAAAAATGCAGAGTGCCATCAAACTCCTTCGAAACAGAAGCCCACAACGACTCCAAAAAATAGATGCAATCCATAAAACCTTCATTCTATTTGCCTTTCTTGACCCCTCAATAATTCCATGAGCTAATAGTGCCCATGCACAAACTTGCACCTTGTTGTGCATCTTTGCTTTCCAAAGAATAATTTAGATGAGAAAACCCCTAAATACTCAAGAATTCACTTTCTTTTATATCTTAATTCATCAAATAACCTAAACTCATTAGTCAAGGATACAAGTGACACCAATTCCTTAAAATCTCTATCATCAAGATTTCTATGAAATCCAAAATCTCAAGAAATTGATTGATTAGAATACTAGCACAACGTGGCAATAGAAAACCCATGAAATTGAGATAAATGATAAGACTCAGAAACATACATGAACTCTCTCCTTATTACCCACCAATGTAACATATTGAGAGTNCTTAAAATCTCTATCATCAAGATTTCTATGAAATCCAAAATCTCAAGAAATTGATTGATTAGAATACTGGCACAACGTGGCAATAGAAAACCCATGAAATTGAGATAAATGATAAGACTCAGAAACATACATGAACTCTCTCCTTATTACCCACCAATGTAACATATTGAGAGTATTGTAAAATCCTTTCATGGGCATCGATTAGTTCCTCCGGCAACCCCATTAGCATCCCATCCATCGGTTTGTAATCCATATTTGCTCTTAATAACTGAATACCATAGAATTTTGTTTCAATGGAAATCTTCACAGCCACTTACCAACTAAGGTTACATTCCTTGTCTTCAAGTTTCCTACTGAAAGCTCACCTTAACTTAAGTTCTTGACACAACCTCCCAATTCATCAAATGATCATTCTTCNCAGCCACTTACCAACTAAGGTTACATTCCTTGTCTTCAAGTTTCCTACTGAAAACTCACCTTAACTTAAGTTCTTGACACAACCTCCCAATTCATCAAATGATCATTCTTCCCGTCACCATTTCTTTTCCATAAGAAATCTCTTATTATTTTTTTAATTCTCATTGCAATTTTCCCTAACAACTTAAAGAGTGGGAGACAATAAGTTGGTATACAAGCCAAAACTGATTTTACCACAGTTAATCTTACCCCTCTAGAAATATAAGATCTCTTTCACCCATCTAATCTTTTCCTTACCCTTTCCACAATAGGATCCTAAAATGTCAAAGATAAAGGATTTACCCCTAAAGGAAGACCTAAATAAGGATTAAAATTTATTTTGATGCATTGTTTAGGTCACGTAAGAAACATAAACGTTTAAGAAATGTTTCAAAAATAGATTGCAGGCGAATAAAATGTGTATTTTTTAAAAAATATTCAGAAATATTGGTTAAAATATATACTGCAATATCTTGAAACATTTCAAAATATTAGTGAAAACATGTTGAAAAATCTTGAAACACTTCAAAGCATTAGAATTTTAATTCAATCACTGGTTAGTTTTATTCTCCTTAGAAGTAGAAACGATTTGGCCATTTTTGGATGAAATTTTAATCCTTGGACCTACGTAATTTAAAGGCCACTACCTCACACCACACCCCAACATCCTGCCAATCTAGAAATTTTAGCTTGTGAAGAACTTATACCCACAATCAATATTTTGTCCATATTGACCCTTAATACAAATACCATTCCAAATACCTCCACTATCCTTTTCAAATTATTAAAATTTTCGTCATCTGCCCCGGACAAATTACAAATGTGACACAAAAATTTCCATCTTTCCCAACAATAAAACCCTCCGCAAAGGTCAATTCTTTCTGCCCTTCTTACTAATTCGTTTGACCCATTCATGATCTGCCGCTGAAGTAAAGAGAAGGAAATAAAAGGATCACACTGTCTCAATCCTCTAGTTGCTTTGAACTTTGCCCTTAGCCTTCTATCAATCATAATAGAGAATTCATTGATTACAAATATCATTAATCCAACCTCTCCAGCTTTTACCAAATTTGGAATTCAATAGTTTTTTAAGTTAAGTGACTTTTATCGGTAGTATAGATATAGATTTGGAATTCAATAGTTTCTCCCAAAAGATTTTTTTTTCCTCAATTTTTTGATACTCGACCCCGTTGTACTTCGTTTCTATTCGCTTACTCCGCTCTCTTAGACATAATTAATAATGCATGCTTAGCCCTTTGGAGAAGTGTTTTCAAACATGCTTTTTATCTAATAAAGGCTCAGTAGTTTTGGTTATGCTTTGAAACATGAACCAAAATTCAAACAACTCAACTGGCCATTGTCCCAATTATTTGGGGGCGACTACAAGAATCTTCTTTTGCTTTTATGCTCTATTAAGGTGCATATTTTTTTATTATGCCACAAATTATAATTTCCTTCTTTTTGTATTGCATTCAATGTCAATTTCAGCCTATATCTTTAGCCCTTGCATTACTATTGATAAGTGGTTACTTTTCCTGTGTACTAATAATAAGCCTTCTATAAACCTGGTCAAACCACCTAAAGTTAATAATCTCTTAATTTATCTTTTTTCCATGATATTTCTAGTGTTTCAAAAAAGTGCTCATCCCTAATTATAATCTTTTTGATTTTGCCATGCTTCTATCTTAACGTCCTCATTTTACTTGTATTTTTTTTTTAAAATTTTCCCACGTTTTGAACAATATAGATTACTGGTTTAATGATCATCTTGTAGAATTTACTTTTTAGCTTAAGAGGTATATATATCACATAGTACACTAGATGCATTTCTCTATTTAGTACATCCTGTTTTAAATCTATCACTAGCATTGCCTCCAAGTGGATAATAAACCCCACTCATCTTAAATGTTCGCTTTTTTATATCTCTTGATCTTTGATCTTTGATCTTTACTATCTCTCTATTTGAATGTCCTCTTTAACTAAAATTATGTTCGACATATTCAATTGTATTTGAAAATATCTTGAATTTTCTTGATTCTAAAGTGTATCGCCAAACTTCTAATTTATTGTTAATCACTTCGTTACTTTCATCGCTTAATACTATATCATCAGCGGATAATATACTCCATGAAATCATATCCTGAATGTATCTAGGTAATTCATTCATAACCAAGGGGCAAAACATGCAGACTTAAAGCAGAAGTTTGGTGTAAGCTTACAATGATTGAGAGTTTAGTAGCCTTCCCTATATTTGCTCTTGCTAAAATCATTGCACCCTCATACGTATACTTTCTTTGGCAAGATACTTTTGTAAAATTCCCCACCAAATATGATGATCTGCTGTGACTGCAATTAAAGCAGTCATGGTATACTCTTTTCTGTTTCAAGCTTGTATGTTGTTAACTGAATCTCTCTCTTATGTTGTGGTGGCTGATCTGCTTTCTATATACTTTGACAGAATGGATCAAGTATCTTATTTTGTTTTCCTACTTTGTATACTCATTTTGGTTGTTAGATTGAGGTCAATGATGTGAGCAAGGAAATGGATCTGGATATCATCAAGCAAAATAGTCAGGTGTTGATGTCGACACATTTTTGACTTCTTCTTTGGCCTTCTCCTTTTCTGATTGTCTTTTTTAATTTGGAGCTTTTTGTGATGTATTTGATGAATGCGCATACACAGGTGGAAAGAATAATTGCTGACAGAATCAGTAAAGACAGTTCAGGTGATGTAGTGCCAGAGTATTTAGTCAAATGGCAAGGCCTGTCTTATGCTGAAGCAACTTGGTATATTAACTGACATTGTTTTGGTTACTTTAATAACAAGATCATGTAATTATATATGCCTTTCTGATATGACCTTTCTTTTTTGTGTATGATGAAATGTCCAATGAATTATATGGTGAAGCAGTATCGGCATATATGGACCACTAGTTGTGCTTATTTTTTCTGTATCCCATCTGAGGGTTGCAATTGCAAGTTTTGATGCTCCTTCATATATGTTTATGTGATGAAAATTTCAATGCTTTTAATGGCTCTCGATGTCTGACTTTAGGGAGAAGGACGTGGATATTGCATTTGCTCAAGATGCCATTGATGAGTACAAGGTAGCACTTTAGTTTATAGGAGTTTGTGGGTATTATGTTGCATTTTCCTATAAATTTTGGGTTCCCACCTTTGTAGTAGAGTTGTTTATTTTCTTGTCAATTGCTTAAACTTGCTTATTTGCATGATTGTGCCTTGCATATATTTACATGATGTGTGTACCAAATTTATGTAAATTTTTGGGCATATTTGGTATTGTATGTGCTGTTGCTGTTGTTTGTGTCATGTTATCTCTTTAGGGACACTTATTTTGTCAACATATATTGTTATAAATTTTCAAGAAGTACCAATGTATCAAAGCAAGAAATCATAGGCATACTTTAGACTATTTTTGCCAATCCATGCAGCTAGTAAAGGACATTATTGTTGGATTTTTCCAGCTATAAAGGAAGAGAAAAGAAGACCAATAACATAATGTTTCAGCCAAGGATCAAAATGTGTTTTCATTTTGGATGGATGACCAAATGTTTCAGTTTTGGTGGAAACCAAAATTGGTTATTAAGAATCGAAATTCCTATGTTTTGGGATGTTTCGGAATTGAAATTCCAAATTTGTTTTTTGTTTCCTTTTCCAAGCTGATCGAACCAATGCATCACGATAAAATTTTATTCCTTGGTTTCAGCATGGCTAAATCTATGTATAGTAAAATGGTTTATATCTATCTGTTATTCTCGTGAACAGAGAACAACTCTGTCTTATTTAGTTCAGCCTATTGAAGCGTGCATAGGGGTTGCTGTAGGTGTTTCCTTAAATGAATTGTTGTTCTTTTATATTAAGATTTTTAATTTTGATGTGCTTTGCTTGGCTCAAGTAATGCCAATTGTATTTAGTTAGCAAAGAATGGAGCGTCTACCAAGACTACTAACTTTTTCTTAAGATAACTAATATTCCGCCCTTGAACAGTTGAAGTTGTTAATCTTCCAAGTCATCCCTATTTAAATGTTCATTAACTTCTCCACTTGTTGATACTTTTTGTCCATCTACTGCAAAAGATAAGAATAGGTCACTTGAAAACCTCAAACTTCGCAGGCCGCAGCTCATTTATTGAAATTTAAAGGCTTCATATGGTATTGCTTCCCTTTTTGAAATATATCGGTTTCACAATGACATCTTTAGAGGATCACACTTACTGAGGTTCTTTTGTAACAATGAAGCAATGTTTATAGAGTGAATTATGGAGGTCCAAATTTTGATATACAAAGGGGAAAATTCTGGAAAAACACAAAAAAAAAAAAAAAAAAAAAAAAAAGAGGAAGAAAATTTGCTCTATCTATTTCAGATGAGTTCTTATGTATTTACATGCTTATGTGTTTGTTAAAATTTTTGAGACTTTGTATGCAGTCACTCTTATAATTTAGTTACTCTTTTATTCAATTAAATTTTGCATGTATAATTCGAAATGCATTATTAGCCATTCTTGTTAGTTAATTTGTCAAGGTTCCTGATTTTTTGATCTGTAAGCAGGCACGCGAAGCTTCGTTGACGGTACAAGGAAAACTGGTAGATTTCCAGCGGAGAAAGAGCAAAGGTATGTTATTTCTGAATTTTAGTTGTTCATTTGTTTATGTTCAAAATAAGACCACATAAACTTTTTTTGTTTATTATTTATGTTTTGAGTAGAGACTGGAGTTTTGTAGAAGGTGGTAACATAACAATTATTGCCATATAGTTTAAATTACCTGTTTCCCAATGTGAATATTTTTAGTTGAGGACTATAAAGGCATTTGCTTTGTTTTTCACTGAGAAGTTGTCATTGCCTTGTTTATATGGATTCTTTTTTTCTAATTCTGTTTTTCTTTACTTTGGTTTTGAGGAATATGAATTTTAATGAAAAGCTTTATACTTCTGCTTTTCTTTTTACTTACCTTCTGTTTTTTTTACTTTTTCAATTTGAGCATCTCTGTATTTTCTTACTTGTCTTGGCTATCAAAATGATACCAGAATTAATTTTGTTTGAAAATGCTCCTCCTGTTTAGCAAGTTTGAGGAAGCTTGATGAACAGCCTGAATGGTTGAAGGGGGGTAAACTTCGAGATTATCAACTTGAGGGGTTGAATTTTCTTGTTAACAGGTATGATAGATCCTTCTGTGCTTGATGCTTGGTATTTTTCAGTTCCAAATTTGTACCCCAAGTAAGGTTCATTTTTAAAATTGTGCTGATCAGTGTTTCTTTCACAGCACAGTTGGAGAAATGATACAAATGTCATACTAGCTGACGAAATGGGTCTTGGTAAAACCGTTCAGTCAGTTTCTATGCTTGGGTTTTTACAGGTACAAGGCTGTGCTTCTTTTCCCTCTGTTGATGGACAGCGGTCTTTGTTTTTTTATGAAGTTTTGTTCATTTACATTTTCCATGTTTGCAGAATGCACAACAAATACATGGGCCATTTCTTGTTGTTGTACCGCTTTCAACCTTGTCGAATTGGGCAAAAGAGTTCAAAAAATGGCTGTCTAGCATGAATGTTATTGTATATGTCGGAACTCGTTCGAGCCGAGAGGTAAGTTATAGTTTGTGGTGCCTGCATTTGTGGTTCAGATACTGATAACCATGTGGATGCGATCATTGTTGATTTATGAGGAAGTTATATGCCTTTGGATTTTATATCCATTACTTGTTTAATTATTATATTTTCATATCTTTTGTGGATTGATTTTGACTATAAAATGAACTTCATTTTTTGTGTTGAATCTTGGTACTATTTCATTTAATATGTTCATAAAGATTATGTGTAAGGGGAATAAAGGATGATGTGTGTATGAGAATTTACTGAGTAGATGGTGCAGAATGGCTTTTGGAGGCAAATAGGCGGGCAATGAATCTTTTGGGCAACTGTTATTTCTTGATCAGTATTTCTCAGACAGACCTTTGTGTGCCTAGTAATCTTGAAGAAAATAGAATTTTGGGGCGTCTCTTATTTTTTTCCTAGTTTGTTGAATGGTACATTATATTTATATGGATGAAGGTCTTTATCATATATAGCACTCATCAGTCCTTTACTCTTTACAACAACAACAACAAAAAAAAAAAAAAAAAAGAAGAAGAGAAGATCAAGAGAGAGAGAGAGAAAGAGAGAGAGTCAGAAGGACATTTTGGTGATGACACCAACACTTTCCGCCAATTTGGACTGAAAATCTAAGAGTTTCACTTTGCCCTAATACCCTAAGGTGGTTATGTCCAGTTTTTGAAGAATAGGAAGGTAATTTGTTACAGGCCAAAACCATTAGGTGGTAAAACGTAGTTAACCCGTTTGATTACTTGTAATCTGAGATTTTGACTTTTGTTATGGTTGAGGGAATATGTGAACTGTGTAGGGACCAAAAATACCTGTGCTGATGCATTTCTGATTATTTTTTCCTCTTGCTGGCAGTATGGAGAATTATGGATCTCTTTGTTCTGATGGGCTATTGTGACTTGGCAATATCTTTTGTATTNACCAAAACCATTAGGTGGTAAAACGTAGTTAACCCGTTTGATTACATGTAATCTGAGATTTTGACTTTTGTTATGGTTGAGGGAATATGTGAACTGTGTAGGGACCAAAAATACCTGTGCTGATGCATTTCTGATTATCTTTTCCTCTTGCTGGCAGTATGGAGAATTATGGATCTCTTTGTTCTGATGGGCTATTGTGACTTGGCAATATCTTTTGTATTTTTCCTAATTTTCATTTGGTGTTGCAGGTTTGTCAGCAATATGAATTTTACAATGATAAGAAAACTGGCCGGACTACAAAATTTGATGCTCTTTTGACTACATATGAAGTACTATTGAAGNCTTTTCCTCTTGCTGGCAGTATGGAGAATTATGGATCTCTTTGTTCTGATGGGCTATTGTGACTTGGCAATATCGTTTGTATTTTTCCTAATTTTCATTTGGTGTTGCAGGTTTGTCAGCAATATGAATTTTACAATGATAAGAAAACTGGCCGGACTACAAAATTTGATGCTCTTTTGACTACATATGAAGTACTATTGAAGGATAAGGCAGTGCTCTCTAAGATCAAATGGAATTATCTTATGGTTGATGAAGCACATAGGTTGAAGAATAGTGAAGCTTCGTTGTATACAACACTCTTGGTATGCCTATATTGTTGCATAATTTATCAATCTTGGTTCAATTGTTTGTCTTTTGGTTTTCATTTTTGGTGGTGTGGTTTGTTTGGACAGGAATTTAGCACCAAAAACAAGTTGCTCATTACTGGTACTCCATTGCAAAACAGTGTTGAAGAGCTCTGGTACATTTCTAGTATTGCATATTTTATGCACTTCTTTTGTACATTCCAGTACCGTTTTTTTTGTTATGAACGATACTGGTTATTAGTAAAAACCTTTTAAAGTTAAGGACGAGAGATTAAAGTAGGGCAATACAGTTACTTAAATTGTCGCCCGGCTTCATTAATAATGTCCAGCTAGTGCATCAGCTTGTTTTTAGTGAATCCTTCAGCACAATTTTGATGCACTTGTGGCGTTGGTGGTGTTGTGCACTATGCAACGGTATGTTAGACAGAAGGTTAANAAGAGAGAGAGTCAGAAGGACATTTTGGTGATGACACCAACACTTTCCGCCAATTTGGACTGAAAATCTAAGAGTTTCACTTTGCCCTAATACCCTAAGGTGGTTATGTCCAGTTTTTGAAGAATAGGAAGGTAATTTGTTACAGACCAAAACCATTAGGTGGTAAAACGTAGTTAACCCGTTTGATTACATGTAATCTGAGATTTTNAGGGAAGATAGAGAGAGAGGAAGTACCTTTGGAGATAAGAGGTTTCAATAAGTGACCACATCATTTTCTTCTTTATCTCTTTTTATGATGTGCATTGGGCTAGATGCCTCAGGATATGACATTTTGTCTTTAGACAATCCAANTGAAGGGAAGATAGAGAGACAGGAAGTACCTTTGGAGATAAGAGGTTTCAATAAGTGACCACATCATTTTCTTCTTTATCTCTTTTTTTGATGTGCATTGGGCTAGATGCCTCAGGATATGACATTTTGTCTTTAGACAATCCAANCTAAGGAGGAGAGATTAAAGTAGGGCAATACAGTTGCTTAAATTGTCGCCCGGCTTCATTGATAATGTCCAGCTAGTGCATCAGCTTGTTTTTAGTGAATCCTTCAGCACAATTTTGATGCACTTGTGGCGTTGGTGGTGTTGTGCACTATGCAACGGTATGTTAGACAGAAGGTTAAAGATTTTGAAGAAACGTTGAGAAATTCTATTAAAATAAGAACACGAAATGGAGCTATCATATAAAAAATCTATCATCTAGGTCATTTAATATTGTCTAAATAATTAATACAGCTGCTAGTGAACTTGGCTACTATACAATTGGACAATAGTTCAACAGTATCCAATTTTTTAACTAATAACATCATCATACATTTTCTGCAAAGCATTTAATTCTTGGAGTTATAGTAGTTTTTCCGGCAGTCCCAAGTGTCCTAATATAGGTTGGGGTGCATGTTCAAGAAGTAAATTTTGGTAGAATGGTAAATCAGGAGAAGGTGGAATCATTGTATAAGGAATGAAAAGAATTAGTGTATTACAAATGCTTGTAATTCCAGGGATAAATCAGACATAAGGACATGTTTACCAAAGGCTTTATATGTCCAGATCCAATTAACAAGGTGTTGTTGAGTTGAGTACAGCCCATGTTGTGAGCAATGCAAATTAGCCACACCACCACCCACTCTACCCTGCCAAAATGAAGTTCGATTAGAATATGTAAAAAATCAGGCTTCTCAATTATTTGAGTTTAATTAGTTGAAATGCCCTGGCCGTCTTTGTGTAAAACCCTTGATCTACCATTATAATGGCCTTGCGAATTCGTTTGAGCCCCATTAAGGGCAATGTAGTGATCCAGCAATGATGAAGCCTTATGAAGATGAAGGGAAGATAGAGAGAGAGGAAGTACCTTTGGAGATAAGAGGTTTCAATAAGTGACCACATCATTTTCTTCTTTATCTCTTTTTATGATGTGCATTGGGCTAGATGCCTCAGGATATGACATTTTGTCTTTAGACAATCCAAGTCATTTCATTGACATTTCTTTATATTTGTTTGGCGTATCTCAATCTCTTAGCCACCCTCCTGATATAGCAACAACATATACTAAGACTTTGTGGCTGAGATTTATATCCTTGGTGTTAATTTTACCGTGTGTTTGTATGTAAGTAGTTGACACTTGAATAATTGTATGTCAGGGTTTAGGAAAAGAAAGAGGGGAAGAAGAGAGGAAGAAAGAGAGTATGAAACAATATTGTATGTAGGTTGTATGTTTCCTAGACCCCATCACCTATTTATATTTGATTGATATTGAAGACAATTACAATATTAAGAAAGTAGAACATAATACGAAAATCATATAATAATAAAGTAGAATAATAGAAAAGTGAGATAATAGGAAAGTAACATAATAGGAGAGTGGAACAATAGGAAAGTAACAATCTAACATAATTATTAATGTTGACATTTGTATAAAGCCCCATATAATTGGGTTTGTGTTGATATTTGGTACTAAGAGTTGATATTAAATTGTATCAAAATCTTTTGAGAGAAGTGAAATTTATCATGGATATGTTATACGTGGTATTGGAGAAATATGTTTGAATTATGACTTTTTGTCAAATTGACATCTTCGTTGGACCATACTATAGATGTGTGATAGTCATACTTTGTCTTGTTCTAAATGCAGGGCTCTCCTTCACTTTCTTGATCCTGATAAGTTCAAGAATAAGGATGAATTCGTTCAGAATTACAAGAATCTTAATTCATTTAGTGAGAATGAGGTGCACAATTTCATCTGCATTGCTTTCACGTTCGTTGACTCTTTTCTGCATGTTGTGATTTGTTTGTTTTTTTCTCTATTTCTAATACTGTAGTTTGAATTGGTGTTTTTTTTTTCTAGCTTGCTAATCTTCACATGGAATTGAGGCCTCACATTCTTCGTAGAGTTATCAAGGATGTGGAAAAGTCATTGCCTCCAAAGATTGAACGTATTCTTAGGGTTGAGATGTCCCCTCTTCAGAAACAGTAATTTCTCTGACAGGTTTATAATTCTAGATGCTTTATTGTTTTCTTCTTGTTTACTCATGCTCGTTGCTTGTTAATTGCATTTAGGTACTACAAGTGGATTTTGGAACGCAACTTCCAAGATTTGAACAAAGGAGTTCGTGGGAATCAGGTAATCCCTTTGTGAAGCTGAGCGATGCCTCTACTTTGCTATTAATAGTAATTGGGCGAACTTCACTTTACCCCATTGTAGTTTACTTGCACATCCCCTCTCTATCACTTAGAAAAAGCCACATAACCTTCAGTGGTTTGTGGAATAAAGTGCACCCTTAACTCGGTTAATGTCAAACGTAAAATGACATTAGTACCCTTCCCTCTATATTCTTTTTCAGCAGACTCCTAGCACCTTCCTCTGGCAAAGCAGCCAACCCACTGTTGCAACATTATTGCAATGCTTTGAATCAAAAGTTGAAGAAAAAAATTTCAATTCAAATTTTGGGACCAAAATCTGTTGGCAAAAATAAATCGAAATCAAAATCACAACTAAAATTCAAAAATCAAAATCGGAACACACTGTCGATGCCAAGGCTCTCTTTGCACCGTAACTGCACCTCCACCATGGCTCCCCCATCACCACACTCATAGCCACCCAGAAAACCCACAACCCAAATCACCCATCACCAACATAGATCACCATCACTACATGAAATTCCACCCGACACTAATTCACCGAAGATCAAAATAGGAAAATTGTAATAGTGTGTTTGGTTGGGTGGATGGAAAAATGGAAAAATGGAAGAATGGAAAATGGGAGTGATGCATTTTTTATCCTTTAAGGGAGNCGTAATAGTGTGTTTGGTTGGGTGGATGGAAAAATGGAAGAATGGAAAATGGGAGTGATGCATTTTTTATCCTTTAAGGGAGGAATCTCTCCCTCATTTATGTTTGGTAGGGGGGATGGAAAGTAGGAAGGATTGATTTTTTTTGTGTTTAGTAGGATGAATACTGGAAGGATGAAAAACACAAGAGCAAAACTTTACTCTACATGGCTGCTTGATTAGTTCATGGCTAAGTAATAAATATTGACATGTATGCCCCTCAAATCTGCAGGTTTCGCTTTTAAACATTGTGGTAGAGTTGAAGAAATGTTGCAATCATCCGTTTCTATTTGAAAGTGCAGACCATGGCTATGGGGGGGAATCAAATATTACTGGTAGCAGTAAACTGGAGCGAATTATTCTAAGCAGTGGAAAGCTAGTTATACTTGATAAGCTGCTGGACAGGTTGCATGAAACAAATCACCGCATTTTAATCTTTTCTCAGGTTTGTATTCTGGTGAATGCACCTTGGCTTTTATTTTACTGTAATTTTCAACCAACAGCAATATTTAGAAATACATATCCCTCCATGTCCATTTATTGGATCTTGCTTGCTGATAGATTTAGACCTTTAAGATGAATTGTGGCTATAACTTGGCCATGGAATGCACCCATTTAAGTTGTTCAGATAGGCTTTTAGGCTTTAGAAGTCCATCTCGAGAAGTCTAAAGTTGTTTGGTGAGACATAAAAATGGAGTTTTTCTAGAAGCCCATCCTCCAAATGCCCGCTTCCAAGAAAGTTGGTCAATACTCAATTTGAGTGATAAAATGGAACTTCACAAATTACCCTTATATTCTCTCCGTAATTATTTATCGTACCCTCTTGATTTGACAAAACCTAAGCTAAATAGCAGCATATAGTAATTCAGATCTAGATCCTATTTTTTCTTTTGCATCATCACTTTATCCATTCATAAAATTTTTGTTTCTTATAAAAAAAAATCATTTATCAAAATGTATATAAAAATAATTTTAATGTCGATATATAGACCTACTAGCAATAATCTTGTGCTTGAATACACTCTGAAATACCAAAAATCGAGTGTTGATTGTGTAACATTTATATTTTAAATAACAATTTTTTTCTGTAATTACGTAATTTAAAATTAAAGGGAAAGATGTAGAAAATAAGAGAGAGATTGGGGAGAGAGAAGAGAGAGGTAGGTGTGGTTTAGTAGGGTTGCTTGACATTGGTGAGTGTTTTGGTTGAGTTGGCTTACATTGGGAGCCTGTAGAGAAGATGTTTTTTGAGTTGAAAAAAATATTTTGGGATGAATTTTGTATCATTGGATTAAAGTAATGAAAAGTGAATCAATCTTTACCATTGTTGTGCATTTATTAGTTGAGAATTTAACTTCCTACTTGTAATGTTAGATAGATAATAATTGTTCAGTAAATATCATAAAGTACTTTTAAGGTATTTGCCACCAACCATATTTTTTTTATATGAATGTACATCTAAAACACATATTCACCAAACCTTCAGTATTTTTTGGAAGCCCATCCTAAAAAGTTCATCTTATGAAGTCCATTCCTAGAATGGACTTTGTTTTAAGAAGTTGCTTCAAGCGCTGGAGCTCATCTGGCTTTTTTTATTAATCTTGGAATTGACTCAAATTAATGAACCAACCAATCTTTGCATTCAGATATATGATGAGAACAAGCACTAAGATTTTTGCGAACAAGCAAAATTTTAAATTACTGGATTTGAGAAGACAGGGCTCTAGTTGGAACAAAGATATGCTGAAGCAAATCAAGGTTGAATCAATGCCTTTGTGAACAATTAACAAATATATAAACGATGGGAAGACAAATTGGTGAAATGTGAAAGCTATAAAAGAAAGGAAAAAAAAAAGAAGGATATGTTTTTTTCCAATTGCAATATTCTATATCCTACGTGTGGTTGGATCGCGGCTTGTGGTTAATGGTTGTTTAATGTTGTTTGTTCTTTTCTTTTTATTCTGTTTTTCTGTTTCCTTCTCTTCCATTCTACAGTTGGTCGGATTCCTTGTCCACCACCTTTGTACCTTCCTTCTTACCAATAAAAGTTTTGTTTTGTGTGTAAAATTTTTGTAGTAAATCGCAGATTAGTAAAATATTCGGTGGGGTGATTTGCTAATGTGATACGAGGTCTTTTCTTTTCTGAAAGTAGGAGTGATTTGATGTCTTGACATGTAAGATACCTTATTGCTTAAATTTCTAGTGTATAAGGTCATGCAAGCCAGACGTAGTCGAAGGAAAAAATTTGACCCCCAAAGTTGATGGGCTTGAATGATGCTGTAGGATCGTGGTCTTTTTTGCTTTTAATAGGACACAAATATATTATCATTAATTTCGAAAGAAGATAAGAAAATTTAGTGAAGTATGGTCGGTTGGATACTGGGAAACACAGATACTTTCCGGAGGGGTGAGTGGCAGTGGTGGACACGTGTCTAACATGATTAGAAGTGTCCTGAATAGTGAACCCAGTTGGACACTACTAGGATGCATCTNAGGAAACACAGATACTTTCCGGAGGGGTGAGTGGCAGTGGTGGACACGTGTCTAACATGGCCAGACACTTGTCTGACATGATTAGAAGTGTCCTGAATAGTGAACCCAGTTGGACACTACTAGGATGCATCTAGGATACGTGAAGGATTTAAAAAAAAATAAAAATTGTTGACTATTAAAAGAGGTGTTATTTCTATTTTTTCAATTATACTTTTTTGTTATGTAACTTATATACTATGAATGTCAATGGATGTAATGATGTGTGACAAAAATGATAGATATTTATTTTGTTGTATTTCAAATTTAATCAAAAAATTAATCTTTGTTAAGTCTTATTTTTAATATTGTTATAATATATGTTTTTTTTTAATATATTACAACTCTTATTATTTAAAAAATATATTATATTATTTTCATAATTGTTTCATTGCCGTTCTCGTGTCCTATATTTTTTAATTTTGTTGGATCCCCATGTCCGTAGCTGTGCTTCCTAGGTTGGATAGGATTTTATTGTTATGGGAAATCAATTCCTTTTTGTTGAATCTTGCCTGCAACCTGCATAAACTTATGAGCACCATTCTGGTCTTCTAATAGCCACTGAAAGAGTTCATACGCAGCAAAATTGGTCCTTGACTTCTATCATCATGGACCCAGCCTTCCTAGCAAATAGTAACGTGCTCATTAATAAATTTAGGAATCCATCTGATATTTGGCTCCAGGCAGTGAACTTTTCCAAGGTCTTTCCTTTTTGGTGATCTTACTGCTAGAAACTCTCAGTACTGATATCTCACCCCATAAAACTATATTGATTTGTCTCCACTAAAAAGGGCCCAAGGCCTATAGAGGGGCCTCCTAGGTCTTCTCATATGGCTAGAATACTTTTCCTGATAGAAGCCTGGTGGGTGCCCTCCTTGAGGAAAGGAAGAACATTGCTCCCTGAAGTTTTTGGAACATACTTTCAAGACTTATTTTACTTATGCCAGAGCCGATAATTTACAATGGGGTTTAATTGCGACTTGACTTTGTGTTTTTAGCTATCACTTTATTACTTTGTCATAACGCTCTTCTTCCGGTTTGTCGCATTTAAGAATCGCTTACAAGCTATTAGGATGCATTATATGTGTAAGATACCTTTGAATGAGCTTAACTATCTTTGCTTAGTTGCTTTCCCATTCGGTAAATGGTTTGTGTGTCACTTCTTGGAATTCTTGACATTTATGATTTACATTTGTCCTGCTATTTAGTGTTGTAATATGCGTAAATTAAAGCCCAAGAACGTGAGAGCAGCATTGGATAGTTCAGGTGATTAAAAAAATATTATTTTTAAAAAAAGGAGGCAAAAAAAGTTTTGAAGTCTCGGAAAATTTGAAATTGTTGAAAGTGATAAACTGATGATCAATAATCCTGAGCCACGCAGACATTATGTATTTTTGCACCTGGGTTTTCTATCATTTGGGTGATTTTGAGTGCAACTTGCTATTATAATAAGTCATGTGGTTTTGAATAGGTCATTTGTTCAAGCAGATTAAGTTGCCTAAATTGTCTTCTAATGCAGATGGTTAGGATGTTGGATATACTGGCAGAATATTTGTCACTCAAAGGGTTCCAATATCAAAGGCTTGATGGTAGCACGAAGGCTGAGTTGCGACAGCAGGCTATGGACCATTTTAATGCACCTGGTAGTGATGATTTCTGTTTCCTCCTTTCAACTCGTGCAGGCGGATTAGGTATTAATCTTGCAACAGCAGACACGGTTATCATATTTGATTCAGACTGGAATCCTCAAAATGACTTGCAGGTTTGGGGGAGTATGACCTCTCTTAGTCTGTTTTGCATCGCCATTTTGTTATCCGGAGTTGCATCTATTAAATCTTATTCTGAATTGTATATATGTTGTGTCTTTTGATTAGGCAATGAGTAGAGCTCATAGGATTGGACAACAAGAAGTTGTCAATATATACCGATTTGTTACAAGCAAGAGTGTTGAGGAAGACATCTTGGAGCGTGCTAAGAAGAAGATGGTAAACTATTTTATAGCTAGTTTTTTCTTTTTGCAGTTCTTTCGCATATTGTTCATTTTTAGGTGCATAGTGATTCAGGGTTGAATTGCATGCAGATATGTGTTTGTGTTGATGCATGAACATAAAGACGTGTATGGTGGATACTGTTATTTAATAATAACTGGCTGTGTTACTTAAAAACTAACGAGTTGTTTTCTAAAATAGTTGCAGATACCTTCCTGCGGCCTATATTTGCATGTTACATAATGTATGTATGTGGATAGAATATGTCATTATTCTTACTTTCTAATGGGTTCTTGATAGGTTCTTGACCATTTGGTGATTCAAAAACTAAATGCGGNATAACTGGCTGTGTTACTTAAAAACTAACGAGTTGTTTTCTAAAATAGTTGCAGATACATTCCTGCGGCCTATATTTGCATGTTACATAATGTATGTATGTGGATAGAATATGTCATTATTCTTACGTTCTAATGGGTTCTTGATAGGTTCTTGACCATTTGGTGATTCAAAAACTAAATGCGGAGGGCAGATTGGAGAAGAAAGAAGCGAAAAAAGGGAGTTCCTTTGACAAAGTAAGAATATGCAAAACAATAGATGTAGTTACATCGTTTCTGCTAGTTATACCTGGGAATTTGATATGAAAAGTGAATACATTAGTGTGGAACACTTTGGTATGTGGAATTCTTTATCGTTATTGTCATCGGCGCCGCCTTCTTATTTGCCTCCTTGAACTAGAAACTTTTTTCATTATAAATTCTACAGTTAGACTGTTCTGGTCCGAAAGCAGTCTGCCATCTCACTTTTGCTTGTCATGATTGCAGAATGAACTGTCAGCAATTTTGAGGTTTGGTGCTGAGGAACTATTTAAGGAGGACAAAAATGAAGAAGAAAGCAAAAAGAGGCTTCTAAGTATGGATATTGATGAAATTCTTGAAAGAGCAGAAAAGGTTGAAGAGAAAGGAGCTGATGAAGAGAAAGGGCAAGAATTACTGGGTGCTTTCAAGGCAAGCATATTTTACCATATTATTGGGGTTAATAATACTTGTTCGCATCTCCTTCCTTTTCTTTTGGGCTTTTCTTCCTTCTGCATTTAATAACACTTGTTCGCTTCTCATTTCTTTTCTTTCGGGTTTTCTTCCACCTGTGGAAAGAGAAAGAGAGGGGGTGGTTCAATGCAGATTCTCCCTGCCCCTCCTGCCTATTCTTCTGGTTTTGCATTGGTCTGTCTGGATCTCAAGCATGAGTTGATTCATTCCTGTATCATATGTTCAGGTTGCCAATTTTGGTAGTGCTGAAGATGACGGGAGTTTCTGGAGCCGCTGGATAAAGCCAGAAGCTGTTGCCGAGGCTGAGGTATGAGATAATGTTCTGTTTAAGCTTATTGAAGTGTATCTGTCTTTTTTTCATAGATTGCTTCATAAACTCACGAGATTTATTTTCAAATATTATTGATTATGATTTTAGTTTCTCTCTTTTCCCATTAGGAAGCTTTAGCTCCTCGAGCTGCAAGAAACATTAAGAGTTATGCAGAGGCTAACTCAATTGAGAAAACTAATAAAAGGAAAAAGAAGGGAGTTGAGCCTCAGGAAAGATTCTCAAAGCGCCGCAAGGCAGATTTTGCCTATTCAGCACCTGCGATTGAAGGTGCGGCTGCTCAAGTAAGAGGATGGTCTTATGGGAACTTGTCAAAGAGAGACGCTACACGTTTCTTCCGTTCGGTATGGCCTTTATTTGTATGCATTATATAACCTTGTCTTAGGGATATGATGTATTGTGTTAAATGCAGTTAATCGCGCTTATTGAAGTAGTAACCTAAGAAGCACGGAGACAAATACGACACTAATACGTTGACACAAAATTTTTAAAAAAAGTAGGATACGGACACGTTGACGATACGTTAAATAATATTCACACACACACACACACACAGATATATATATTAAAAATCATGTGATAAAATAAAAATATTATTATAATAATAATATTTAATTAATTATTTTTTTAATTCTAAAAATTCACATTATGATATCAGTGCATAAAAAATACAATATAAGATATACCGATACACANTAAAAAAAGTAGGATACGGACACGTTGACGATACGTTAAATAATATTCACACACACACACACACAGAGATATATATATTAAAAATCATGTGATAAAATAAAAATATTATTATAATAATAATATTTAATTAATTATTTTTTTAATTCTAAAAATTCACATTATGATATCAGTGCATAAAAAATACAATATAAGATATACCGATACACATTCAACATTAACATCCATGATCCAACAAACAATGATTAGTACAATTTTTATTTTCAGTACTTAGTATCATTTATTTTTATTTTCTCACATTACTTTATATTAACATTTTATTCCATTTGTATATAAGTTCGTATTCGTATCCATAGTTGTCAAATTGTGTATNACATTTATTTTATTTTCATTTATTTTTATTTTCTCACATTACTTTTATATTAACCTTTTATTCCATTTGTATATAAGTTCGTATTCGTATCCATAGTTGTCAAATTGTGTATTGAAAGGCGCATCGTTTTTTAAAAATAGTTTATCGCATTGTGTATCGTAAGATACACGCAATTTTAATTTTTAAATAATTATTAATAAAATATATGTATATACCTTTATAAAAAAGTTATAGACTCATAATAATATAATATTTCATTAATATTCCACAAACAATTTAAATTTCTAATATAGTTCAGTAATATCAAAATGCAAAGATCTCTAATTCAAATTTCTAACNTTACAAACTATTTAAGTTTCTAATATAGTTCAGTAATATCAAAATGCAAAGATCTCTAATTCAAATTTCTAACGTCAACTGTTTGAATAACTTTAATATTAATCAGGAATTTTGAATTTAATTAAACAACATTAATATTAGACTTTATTTATTTATTTTAAAGTATAAGCATTGCAACGATATTATTTCACTAGTTAGTGATTTAAAAATAAATTCTAGGGTAAAACGATGTCATTTCAACCAAGAAAAAAGAATTGTCATGTACGTACGTATCCGGTGTATCGTATCGTATCGTATCGTACGTATCAAACGATACAGAGACACGATACGTATCGTTTTTCAAGGGTATCGTGACGTATCGTACGATACTAATAAATATGTTCGTATCTAAAATTATGTTATNTCGTATCGTACGTATCAAACGATACAGAGACACGATACGTATCGTTTTTCAAGCGTATCGTGACGTATCGTACGATACTAATAAATATGTTCGTATCTAAAATTATGTTATCTTCATGTCCTATGTTCAATGTAATGATTATAACTTCTTTTATATTATGATTGTGACTTGTGTCCCTTTAAAATTACAAAAAATAAATCTTAATTATAAAATTATTTGAAAAATTCTCAAAAAATTGAAATTAAATCTCAAAACGTGTCGGTCGTGTGTCCCCAATGTGTTCCCGGCGTGTCCTGAGTGTGTACCCAGCGTGTCTTGAAAAAAATTTAGCAATAAAAAAATCGGACACTTATTTTAACGTGTCCGAAGCGCGTCTGTATCCCAAACATGTCCGACAATGACACTTTGTGCAAAATGAAGTGTTTGTGCTTCTTAAGGGGCAACTAGTAGACACACAGAGTTCTCTCTGTGATATGTCACTGTTACTTCATATAGAGTTTTGGCTCCCTAACAATCCTTTCCCCCTTTTTCATCTTGGTGAGTTGAAATCTGTTTAGTGTCGTGTAAATTTCTTATATAGTTTACATGATGACTTGGAAGGTAATGTATCAAAAGTTCAAATTCCACATTTAATCAAACCAACCATTCATTTCTCATTCCAAGTCAAGCCCAAAGTCTCCGGCATCGGTGAATGCTTCGTTTCTCGATTTTCAGCTTGCACACTTGCACTTAAGAGAAAATGAAGGGACAGAGCTTCTGGCAGTTAGCTTCTAGCACTAGATAATAGGCATTAGGCATTCTGAACTGGAAGAGGAGTTGCTCTAGGACTCTGCTTAACCTTCTTCGTCATATCGTATGATTGTTTTTTGAGAAGTTGCATGTGATGCAAGCAAATTATGCCTGTTTATTATGAACTCCAGCTTGGCCTGCCGATAAGCCCTTTGAAATCGATCATCTGTTGGACCAGCCAAAGTTCAAGCTCATTACTATTCTCATTTTTTCGTCCAGCTAAGCTGGTAGATCACAAACTTATTATGCATGTTGCATTATCCGCCTCGTGTGTATTCTTTTAATGATAGACAAGAATTAACCAGATTATCCTCCTCACTCCTGATGCTGTGCTGGTGCCCTTTGCTTTGTGTTGGGATTCCTTTGGCATCTTGTTTCCCATGGTAGTATTGCGTAGAACTTGCCTTGTTGTATTATGCAGAATCTGTGTCCTATTGCAGTTTGTATAGCACGGGAGGTGAGGGTATTGCATTTTCTGACTGATGAAGTTGATTATATCAGAATTATATCACACTGTTTTCTCCACTTTTTTTGCTTTGTCACAGCATTTCTTTTGTATAATGTACATGATCTCTGTTTGCGGCTTTCCTTCTAATATTAGGTTACCAAGTTTGGGAATGACAGTCAAATTAGCTTAATAGCATCAGAGGTAGGTGGAGCAGTTGAAGCTGCTCCAACAGAAGCACAGATTGAGCTTTTTGATGCATTGATTGACGGTTGTAGAGAAGCAGTTAATGAGGGAAATCTGGACACAAAGGTATTGTTCTAAATCACTTGTACTGGGGCTGAATGTTTTTTAATTTTGCATATATTGTGAGCACTATAGGCATATTGAAAGCTAGCTTTTGCTATTTGTTTAACTTTAGGAGCCTCTGTTGGATTTTTTTGGTGTCCCTGTAAAAGCTGATGATCTACTAACCCGTGTCGAAGAACTTCAACTCCTAGCAAAGCGCATTAACCGCTATGAAGATCCCATCTCTCAATTCCGGACTTTGATGTACCTCAAACCTGCTTCCTGGTCTAAAGGTTGTGGCTGGAACCAGAGTAAGTTTTACTTCCGTTTGTAATGTTTACTCCCTTTTTGTTTCATTATTTTGGAAACATTATTGTGCTACCTGTGGGTGGATGTATTATATTTTTCCTTATGCTATTATCAGAGGATGACTCACGGCTGCTTCTGGGAATTCACTATCATGGATTTGGTAATTGGGAAAAGATAAGGTTAGATGAAAGACTTGGTCTTATGAAGAAGATTGCTCCAGTGGAGCTTCAATATGGTGAAACTTTTCTACCACGAGCTCCCCAGTTGAGGGATCGAGCTTCTCTGCTCTTAGAAATGGTAGGTGATAATTTACATTCTAATGCTTTTATGCTCAAACAGTGCTTATTCAGTCTTAAGTTTCCTCATTATTTTTATTTTTTGTATTAACAGTATACTTGCCTCTGCTCTTGATCTGTTAAATCCTTAAAAAGGCGAAGTGTGAATCTCTATGCTGCCATTTATGTCAAGGCAGAACTTGGTTCTATTTGATAGCATAGTTTTGCAAGAGTTATGTTTACATATTTGCAAGATTGATATTTGAGGGAAATTGCAAATTATGGTTTAAGTTGAATTGTATTGCTGAATTATTAAAAAGTATGATTTTGTAGATGAATGGGATTAATTGATATTGAATATTTGCAAAAGTTACTGGTACTGTTTCAGATAGGATATTTTTGATATTGGGAAAAATAAGTTTAGACAATTGCATTCTTTGAAGAACAGATATATCCTCAACATCCTAGGCCAATGGCTTTTAGAACTCGGGGGGTTAGAGTTCCTAATCGCTGGCCTTTGTGTGTTGGGATGTAAATGTGATAATAATTCTCAATGTGAAGATGGGGAGGATGAGAATGATGAGAAACTTGATATGTTTTTGACATATGAATTTGGGCTGGGATATCTCACTCAGAAGCACATTTGTGATTTGGTCAAATATGCAATAAATGTTGGATAGATTTCCATTTTTATTTTTATTTTTCACATCACATGGCCATTTTTCCTATTTTATCCGAATTCATTGCTAAATCCTACTTTAGACAATCTTCCTTTACATTAGAATAAAGTCCAACCATAATTGGCAGGTGTTTTATATTGTAGAGTGTGGTTGCCTCATGAATCTTTCAATTAAGTCTTGATTATGGGTGAGTCTTCTGTGGAGTCTATATGAAAGGTGAAGCTTTGCGGAACAATCCTAGTTATTGAATTTGAATATATAGACATTTAATAGTTTCTTAATTCATGAATNTCCAACCATAATTGGCAGGTGTTTTATATTGTAGAGTGTGGTTGCCTCATGAATCTTTCAATTAAGTCTTGATTATGAGTGAGTCTTCTGTGGAGTCTATATGAAAGGTGAAGCTTTGCGGAATAATCCTAGTTATTGAATTTGAATATATAGACATTTAATAGTTTCTTAATTCATGAATGCATAATGTAGATGAATTTTAGTTGCTTATGTAGGATGACCATATTGCTGGTCTTATAGCTTGAATGATTGTAGGCGACTTTGACTTGCAAGTTAATTGAACAAAGTAATCAAGGAAGCAAGGATCAAAATTTCCTTTTGAAACAGTTGAAACGTTTCTGTTTCGTAGGAGACCAAAACGGATTAATGGCGGAATCAAAATTCTGATACTTCAAGTGTTTCATAATATTTCGAGATGTTTTATAATATTTCATTGCATTTGCACAGTTGTCTTATAATGTTTCAAAATATTTCAAGATACTTTGGTATATTTCGACAAATGTTTTAGAAAATTAATTTTTAGTTTTTTAATTTTTTTTCATTCTATTTTCGAAACCGGTCGAAATGTTTTCGAAACACGTCGAAATGTTTCCGTTTTCTAGATGACCGAAATAATGCACTGAAACGAAATTTTGATCTTTGCAAGGAAGATAATAAGATTTTTACATGACTTGTCAATTGGGTTACAATATCCACATGTTCCCTTTTCAAGATTTGAGAAGGTAGATTCATCAAAGATAGAGACTTGTAGTTTACTTCTTGGGTGGATGCCCAATTGATGGGTCGAGATCAAATGGCTAGGCGTAGTTCCTTGGAAACCTGGCTTAAATAGGAAAGGCTGTGGCGACCTTGATTTGATACATGCCCTTGATCCCTAAGGATCTCTAAGATGGCCTCGGGGGTTTTTCGGACTTCGTTAGTGATGATTCACTGAATATCTGCCGTAGTTTGGGCTGTCTTGAAATGTCAAGTAGTGAACCAGTTCTTGCATTATGGAGCTAATCAGTCATCCCCCCTCTCTAAAAAAAAAAAAAAAAAAAGCTTTTGTGACTAAAAAAAAAAACAACGCCTTTGGTGACTCATTATTCTGGGCAAAGGGAAGTTTTGAAGTTGTCTTTCTCAATATGCTTTTGTGTAAGGCCGTAAAAAATTCCAAAAGCACTTGACTAATTGTAAAATGTAATTTTCTTTTAGATGTTATGGCTCCCTCCTGCTGGAGTTTGTTAATAGATTTCCAATGGGATATATCTTTTTCAGGTTTAAAACCCTTTCCTTTTCTTATTTATTTTTTATTTGAGGTGTCAAATTTTGATGGAGTTTTTCTTTGTTTCTTTCACATGATGAATGCTATCAAAAGCATGTGCTTGTGATCCCGTAAGGGATGAAATCACTGGCATATGATGTCTTGTAATTTTTTATGCCGGTTCTTGCTGTAAATTGGATGACTCACAAGATTCCCCCGCTTTGGAACGCTGTTTTGCAATGCTGCTGTGTGCTGGCTATAGATTTTGTTAAACCATTAGCTAATAGGGTTTCTCATTGTAACATGTCTTGGTTGCCTATGTTTTTAGTTAGTGCATTTCTTCTAGTCTTTTCTTTTTGCCTTGTGCTCGTTCATTCTACGTACGTATTTTCGGTTTTGGTGGTGTTCATTCTACAGTTTTAAATTTTTTAATTCATTTTTTTTAATAGATGGTGTTCTGACTCCGGGAGCTAGGTTAGGATTTCTGCTATTGTTACCCACATGACCATGGTATTGACTGACTTTTAAATGCAGACCTCTTCTTCACCAGGAAGGACAACCAACTGGTGTATACTAGGGATACATGTTGCTGGCTATCAGCATTCTTAGATATGCTTTTCTATATATCTGAGGTGGATGTGCGGCTTAAGCGTTGCACTCAGAGGCGGAGCCATGTTATGNGTACTAGGGATACATGTTGCTGGCTATCAGCATTCTTAGATATGCTTTTCTACATATCTGAGGTGGATGTGCGGCTTAAGCGTTGCACTCAGAGGCGGAGCCATGTTATGGCCCAAGGGGGCCATGACCCTCATTAACTTTTGGAAATTATGCATTATACCCTTAGAATTGTGTTTTTGATTACATTTTAATTCTTAAAATTATATTTTATACCTTAAATTATGATGATTTTATTTTATCCTCACAACTTTTGATTTGATCATATTGCACTATTAACTATTAAAATTATGACATTTTGCATATATCGTTAAATTTTGGTGTAGTGCAAATCTTTAAATTTTAGATTATTTTAAATGATTAATGATGCTATATATTCAAACCCATCGTGTAGTGTTAACTTTCTAATGGCAGACCTCAGGCTTTTTCTGTTTGTATTGGTATATACTCTTGAGGTGATTGTATTTACTTTACTGCCTCTTCATGGCTGTCATTGTTCCAACTTCTGAATAGCACAATTATGTTTTCGTTCATGAGAATTTAGTATCTGGCATTTGTTACCAGGAAGTTGTAGCTACTGGTGGGAAAAATTCAAAAGCCAAAGTGAGCCGCAAGGCTTCTAAAAAGCAGAAGGATGATCTTCTGAACATCTCTATGCCTCATAGCAAGGGAAAGCAAGGAAAACAAGGTTCTCCTAAACTTAATTTTCACCGTAATAAGGCCAGAACTCAAAAAACTCAGAAGGTTGAACCACTGGTGAAAGAGGAAGGTGAGATGTCAGATACTGAAGAAGTGTACGAGCAGTTCAAGGAAGTGAAATGGATGGAATGGTGTGAAGATGTCATGGCTGGCAAGGAAAAGACCCTTAGACGTCTTCATAAGTTGCAAACTACCAGCGCTGAACTCCCAAAGGAAAAGGTTCATTGCATTACCTATTGCTCCCCTCTCCCCGCCTTTCCAACCTTTCAGATTTCTTACCTTAGTGCTGTAGAGTTGGAATGCTCAGCTATATTTATTCTTTTAGGTGCTCTCCAAAATCCGAAATTATTTGCAGCTTCTTGGACGGAAAATTGATCTCATTGTTGTGGAGTATGAGCAGGAACCATATAAACAAGAAAGTATGCCTTATTCATTTTTATGATTTATTATTATTATGCTCAAACTTTCGTTCTTGTTTTGTGCCTCAACTGTGTGTGTGTGCAAAACACACCAAACAGGTATTAAGGTTGAGCACACTCACTTGTTTTTGATTACTTCTCTATTCCTCCACACTCGTGTGGGTTCTTATTGTCTTTCATCATTCCATGAGTCTGACTCCCCCTTTAACCTTGAGAAGCCTAGATTCATATGTTTACTTAAGAAATATGAACTGACTGAGAACAGCTTGAAATGTTGAGTGAAATATCTATTTCTTGTGCAGGGATGACAACACGACTGTGGAAATATGTTTCAACGTTTTCCAATTTGTCTGGAGAGAGACTTCATCAGATCTATTCCAAACTCAAGCAGGAGCAGGGACTAACAGCAGGGGTGGGACCTTCCCACATCAATGGTTCTGCACCTGGGCATCAAACATCGATATTTCACAAAGGTTATGATACAGGAAAATTTGAAGCATGGAAACGAAGGAGAAGAGCTGAAGAAACTCATTCCCAAGTCCAGATTCCACATCACAGGTCTTTGAGTAATGATACCCGTATACCTGAGCCAAACTCTTTGGGTATTCTTGGGGCAGGACCATCTAATGACAGACACTTTGATAATGGGAGGCCTTACCGAACGCATCAGACTGGTTTACCCCCAAGACAAGGTTTTTCATCGGGTGTTAAGTAATTATTCAATGCCTGATTGAGAACCAGCTTATTGGAGAGGGAAGCCAGTTGGTTTTTTCCCAGTTGCTTTTGCTGCTTTGGGCGTTAATGTTCCCTGGTAATTTTTCACCTGTGGGAACAAAAATTTTGCAGATTCCTTTCTTGACAATGCTTACCAAATGTGATGCCGCTATCCAGCAGATGAGGAATGCAATTTGTAAACAGGTGGCAGCAGAGATAATTCAGAAATTGCTTCATATGTGCAGGAGATGACGTATAGAACAGAACACGTTGAGCTTGCTGCAACATTTTTTTTTTACCTTCACATAAATCCAATCACTAATTTCTTTACGTATATAGTTGATAGTCAAAAAGGATTTGCTCTCGGCCATTAGGGATACACCAAAATGTGGAAGACATTTTGTATTTATTATGCCTTTGCAAATGTACATTATCCAGTTTTGCTTTTGAATATTTCCACATTTGACTCGGTGAGTTCTCGAAGTATGCATTTATTTATTTTTTTTGTATTTTGTGCATTGTAGCACACAGTTGATCATTTGGGATATGGTGGTGCAGCTTTGCCCTTTGAACATAATGTGCTTTTCCAATTCAAAAATATATATATATAAATCTATATGTGCTGTCAAAAGTTTGTTCCCTCACTGGATATTTTTGTTCAGTGTTAGATTTTGCAGATCAAGCCCTTTAAATGCCACTATCTTTGGATTATCTTGTTTTATATATTTGATTGCTTGTGACATGAGTTTATCTGCAGCAGTTGAATCAGGGATTGCTCGGGGAAATGGATGACTGAAATCAGCAAGTGGTTGAAACTTTTTCCAGTCTCCTAGCCAGTAAATTTGTGAAATTTCATGTAACGAGAAATTTAGTAACGATGGAGGTGAGCAATTGTTGATATTGCATTCATTGATGACATTTTTGGGTAATATTTTTCATTATTTTTGTATTGCTGTATGTGCAGGTATTCATATTCTTGTGAACGAGTGAGCTGTTGTTGGCCCGTCATCTAGGGTAGAGATGGCGCGATGTTTGGGCAGAACTGGAACCCCCAGCTATTTGATCAAACCCCAACCTCGCTATCCGACTGGATTGGGGACATATTACTCTGGTAGAGATGTGATGGGAGGGAGGTATATGAAGATTCAGGAGAGACCATCATCATCTTCATCGTCGAGTTTGTGATCTGGAAATATGTATTGGATTGGAATTCGTTTAGCGATTGGATTTTATAGTGATTCCTCGATGGGATTTNCTCTGGTAGAGATGTGATGGGAGGGAGGTATATGAAGATTCAGGAGAGACCATCATCATCTTCATCGTCAAGTTTGTGATCTAGAAATATGTATATTGGATTGGAATTCGTTTAGCGATTGGATTTTATAGTGATTCCTCGATGGGATTTTGTAGTGATTCCTCCCGTATATCGTTGTATAATTGTGTAATTACATGCTGAGGTTGCTGTTCTCATGGTTGGTCATATATAGCAGTTTTGGGTAAATTTTTTTAGCTGCTTGTGATTTTCGTGATATTTTTAAATTAATACTTTAATCTATTATAGGTTTTGGATTAATTGACGATCAAATTATATTTTTTTTGCTACTAAATTTACACCGATTACTCATTCAAGTTCAGCGGTTGGCCATTGTTGTTTAAACTGAGTTAGAGCATGTTCTTTTTGGTACAAATGCGACTAGCCCTGGGGAGGTGTGAGGGGAGAATGAATTTGAGACATTTGGGTTATTAAAGGCTAGGTTTAATCATTGAATTATACCTAAGGGTTGCGTTACATTGAAATGATTAGTGCTGTTAAAATGTCTCTAATATAGATACATTTTTATGTTTTCGTTTTCTCTCCCTATCAAATCCAATGAATTATGTTTATTTTTTTAAAATGTAAAAATAACTAGCAGAAATGATACTGAAAAGTTTTCCAAAATAGACGGTATGATTTTTCTATACTAAATTATCAACCCTTGCCCCAAATTTTTTCAAAAGGTGTAGGTAAATGCTATTTGAACTTAATTTGAGAATTTTATCTGAATATTTAATTTAATGCAGCCATTGAATTGATAGTAAATTTTATCTGACATTAAAACTCATGAATAATTTAATGACTGTATTGAATTAGGTTCCTGTAACATTTTTCAAAATTATATAGCATAATCTATCAGTCTTAAAATTTCCCGAAAGGATGGACAATGTATGGCAAGAAAGGGAGATTGAGATTGGTCTTCTTCTTTCAAACTATAGATTCTCAAAATTATTTGATAGAGAGGTTTTTATTTCTATTGACCTCCCATCACTTTCTCTTCAAGTTTGCCGTAATTCCCTTTTATATTGGAACTTTAACTATTTTATTATATTATCCTATTATTGAGATAAATCATAGATTTCAAAGTACAAAAAGGATGAAATGTTNAATGGCTCTATTTTATTATATTATCCTATTATTGAGATAAATCATAGATTTCAAAGTACAAAAAGGATGAAATGTTAATTATCTAAAGTCTATACAATGGGTTGCTTTGGAGTTGATTTTTTTGAGTGCGAAATAAAATTTGAAAAATAAAATAAAAAAATTAAAGTTAAAAAAATTCTTGAAATCGCGTGGAGTGTTTTTTAAAAAATCAATTTTTCTTTGAAAGTACTTGGGTACTCCCATTTTTTTAGATTTTTCTTGGTGCAAATAAAAATNCGCGTGGAGTGTTTTTTAAAAAATCATTTGAAAGTACTTGGGTACTCCCATTTTTTTAGATTTTTCTTGGTGCAAATAAAAATTTTATTTTTCAAAAAATTGATGAAAAAATTGCCTCATAAATTCGAGCCCAAACAAATCAAACTTGTTTTCCTCTAAATTTTCTACACCACCTCCAAATAGATCCAATGAGTGGATAAAAGTGAATTTACCCCAACTTTTTTGGTGCCAAAGCCATCCACGGCATTGAACCTTTGGAAGTTGGGTATTAAACCCCAAGTCTTGTCCAGGAAAAATACTATTCAGACCTAAAAATTTGACATAATTTATTGACTTAATAACGTGATTTTATTGGAGTCATTGGATAAGCACCAAGTTTTAATGTTTGATGGAGCCCACAATTAATTCAAAGGTCATAGTGAATTAGGTCAATAAATTATGTCCCAATAACATTGCTCTTTGTCCTCATAATGATTTCTTACAATAAATTAAGAATCACAAAGAGTCTATCAAATGAAAATATGACACGTGTCCATGGTGGACCCAAGTGGGAGATGAATACAAAAGCAAAGGAAGATGAAGTAGGAACAAAACTGCTGTGGCCTGTGTGGCTTTGCCTCCAATAGATGAGGGTGTGGTTGATACTTGATAGCCCTTTATCACGTTATCTTTTCGCATATTCTTTTTCAACCTCATACTTCCTAACCATTGCCAATGACTCTCTATTTACTATTTAGCACTATTTTTAAGGATTTAATTTGTGCACCCTCTACTTTGTCATAATTATACTTCTTTCTCTGACTTCTTGCTTTTTTCTATCTATGCCCATATGTTAGGCCAAGTAACTTTGTTTATGTCATTGTAAGAACATTTCCAACAATACCCTCTATTTTAGAGAGAATTTTTTTTTTTAAATAGAGAGCATCTTTAATAAAAAATTATAACAAAACATAAATTTATATACATCACTCCAATAAAACTCTCTATTCTTATCATTTTATCATTTATTTATTTTTTTGGCAATAAATTTGAATTTTATCCTATTTTTTCTCTATTATTTTAAATGAGATATGCTTATTCTAAATTTCTTGGGCAAAAAGACAAATATATTTTTTTTTTGTTCAAAAAAAATAGATTTAAGAATAAGTTTGACTCTCTAAATGTAGATAGTCAAATTAAACTCTTTATTTTAGAGAGTCTAAGAGCATCTCCAACAATATTATCTATTTTATAGAGATTTGAACATCTTTGGTAAAAAATTATTATAGAGAATAAATTTTTATACCAATTGGACTCTCTATTTTTATCATTTTATGTTTTGTCATTTTTGGCAGTAAATTTAGCTTTCCACCTATTTGTTCTTTATTATTTTAAATGAGATATATTTATCACAAATGTCTTGGATGAAAAGACAAATATATTCTTTTTTTTGTTCCAAAAAAATAGAGCAGAGATTGAGTTCGCTCTCCAAATCTAGAGAGCTAAAATTGGACTCTTTATTCTAGAGCGTCAATAAATACTTTGTGCAACCATCCAATAAAAAAGGAATAAAAAAAATAAAAATAGGACACATTTCCTATCATAGAAGTAGTTATGTATTAGTTTTGAATTTTAGTGGGGCTAATTTGTTGATTTATTTACCTATTAGTAGATCGTTACACTACGTGACACTGCTGATATGGTGTAACGGTTGTACCCAATATTTTTTCCTAAATAAGAGTATTTCTAATAGACTCTGTATTTCCACTCAATTCTCTATTATAGTGTCAACTTCTAAAAATTTCTGCTCCAATGAACTCTTTATTCAGATTGATCTAAGGAAATTATACCCTTATTATAGAGGGGGGAAAACAATTGTGGGTCAAAATCAAATATAAGCAGAGTGTAAGGGTATTGTTGCAAAAGAGAATTTACTATACTAAGAAATTTGTCTTCTGATGTTACCAATTCTTAGCCGCAGGATTCTGATACGTAAACTCTTATCTGCCACGTCGAATCAAAGTTGGGTCCCACGTGGAATGTTGATTGGCCTCCCGCGCTCTTATTAAATTGGTTTTACGTTTCAATGGCCTTTTCATCTCTCTTTGTCCTCTGTTCTCAGTCCTCTGCTCCACTTTGCAGAAGTCGCAGGCATCAGATTTTACAAGGTACTCTCTCTCTCTCTCTCTCTCTCTCCTCTTCAATCACTTGAAGTAATGGGTTCTCATCCTTCTTTTAATATATATCATGTGTGCGTGTATATATATATATGTGTGAGTGTGTGTGTGTGTATATTCATCTAAGCTTCAACTTAAAGACCATCCTATGTATCATATATTTTGTTCTGTGAGAGAGACATCAAAACTTTATTGTGCCTATACATAAACATCTACGTTTGTTGACACAAATTTTAATATTTTTTTGGTGCGTTTATATATAAAATAGTCGAGTTATTTATGTTTCACTTGTTTTGAGTTCGGTTGGGTTCAGTTAAGTTTTAATTATATAATTATTTTATCATTTTATAATTAATGGTTACATATCAAACATACTAAAATCTACTATTCTTGATCAATTTTGCTACAATGCTAGATTTTTTTTTTTTTTTTTGACATTAGTGGGGTGGTTTCTAATTCAGTTAAAACAATAACCAGTGTTCTTTTTTGTTTGTTGTTGAATTGTGGGATGATATATGTTATGTATAATTAAATCCCAGAAACTGAAAGGAGCATTGGTATTTCTCTTTTTTATCAAACGAAAGATGAACTAAATATAATGCTAGTTGTGTGTATACATGGATATACAGTCAAATTACATATAAATGAGGTCATGTTACAAAGTGTTAGGACAGATCCCCAACAATCCTATTTTATCGTAAGAGTGCCAGATTGAACTGTAACATCACTTATCCATGTATCAAAAAATAAGTTTTCAGTACCATAGTCTTACTCTTACCCAAGCATGTCAAATATTACTAGTAGAGAATACGTGCTGTGTGCTAGAAAACTAAAAAGTAAATGTAAAGCTACAAAAATTATGGTAACAATTTAGCTTTAAAAAGTTTGCAAAACATATTTAATTTGAGAAAATCAAAGTTACATGTATACAAATTAAACACTTATATAATGAATGAAAAGTGTACCCTTTAGGCTATTTCATGTTGCGATTCTGCTTCCCCCATAAGCAGATAATCAACAACCAATAGGTCAATTTATTAGTGCATTGATCTTAGTAATTCTTGGGTAAATTGGATGTTTTTTCATCTTATTTATAAAATATGTCTAGTTTAAGAGCCAGTCTACAATTTATAGTTGTCATTGGGAAGTCTAGAGGTCAATCTTTTTAGTTCTAACCAATAGTAAGCTATTGAACCTAAAACAATACTGAGTACCTTGTAATCAGCATTCTTTTTTTTTAGTTTTTCATTATCAAAGTTGTGTCTAGACGATTATAAGTTGTATAGATGCATTGATATAAATGTATAGATTCATAATGTCATAGCTTCCAAGGTTTCAAATACATGTATCTAAATTTAGGACTTAATTGGTTTGATACTGTTTTATAAGAGAAAAATAAAGAATCAAAAGCCTTTTTTGGTTAACTTAAAAGTATAGAACGTTTTTCATTTTTCAGAAAAAAAGTTGTAGGAGTGAGTAAGTTTTTTTCTTTTTTTTTTGATTAAGGTATGATCATTAATAGATTCGGGAGGATTATAGAGACTGAGGCTTGAACCCAAGTTGCTCACCTAATAACGACGCATCTGGTTAATCGTGGTGGGGTGGGGCCTCCCCTCGGTTGAGTGAGTAAGTGAAACCATAACATTGAGAAGGTGCATAAATTTATGTGCCTTTATGAGTGCCACATCTGAGCAGTTCCCAGTAACATTAGAAGATCAGCCTGGGAATTGGTAGCGAAACTGTGATGCGAAACGCATACTTGTCCATCTGTATTTGTTGTTGAATACAATAGAACCTAACTTTGTTGCCTTTGTTTATTATGGTTCTTGTATTAGGTTATATCACTAGAGGGTGGTAGGGGTGGTCCCTTACCTTCTATGGCCTAACATTTTTCCATGAGTAGATTCTTGTCCAAATGAAGATTACCCAAATTAAGAATTTTTCTTTTTTCAAAAAAATTTTCAATCCTTGCCTAGGAATCTGACTGACAAACCTATTTCCTTGTATCTTTCCTTTCCTAAAGCTGATCTGTCTGAAGAATTTCACAATAGTTGTTGCTAGGAATCACTTACATTTTTCTTAGATTTAACTTGATTTGTGGATGGCGTGAATTAAGTGTGCTTGTTATCATTCACATCCCCAAAGTTTACATTTTCAGAGGAATGGGAGAATATAGACTGAATCTAGAGTTGATTTGTTTAATGAGTTGCTGCAGTTGATTAATTTTCTGAGTGAAAGGTTTTAGAAGGAAATGATGATTGATTACTCTGATGGTTTTTTGTTGCAGGGGTATTTGACACAAAAGGTGTCAAGGAGGGTTTAATTTATTAGGAAATCGAAATTCCAAGGAGGGGAAGATGGATTATTCTTATGCACCAGGAAGAAACCATCTCTTCGTTCCGGGACCGGTCAATATCCCGGAACAGGTCATTCGTGCAATGAACAGGAACAATGAGGACTACCGCTCCCCGGCCATTCCGGCAATGACAAAAATCCTACTTGAGGATGTCAAGAAGATTTTCAAGACCACTGCTGGAACCCCATTCCTGATCCCTACCACTGGTACTGTTTCACAGGGTTATAGCCTTTTTTGTTTAGTATAATTTTGCAAATTGGTCTGAATTTCCATGTTCAAGTTGGGTTTTTGATTTCTTTGATACTTATGTGCATGACTTAAGCCCGTTTTGTAACTAGCAGAAACAGAGGAGTTAATTGCAAGATCTCGACAGTACTTTAAATTAGATTTTACAAGCCGTAAGCATTTTTCTATGATCCTCTAAAATTGTTAAATGTTGTCACAAAATGCGACATAGCCAAAGTTGATATTAAGAAGAGAAAGATTAATAAATAATTTGTTTTTGAAAGATTTTNCCGTTTTGTAACTAGCAGAAACAGAGGAGTTAATTGCAAGATCTCGAGAGTACTTTAAATTAGATTTTACAAGCCGTAAGCATTTTTCTATGATCCTCTAAAATTGTTAAATGTTGTCACAATATGCGACATAACCAAAGTTGATATTAAGAAGAGAAAGATTAATAAATAATTTGTTTTTGAAAGATTTTTACTGAGGGTAATCAACAGCAACTCTGATCATGTAAAGTAGTGGCAACGTAATCTGTAACATGGCGAGTCTAATCAATTTCATATGGTACTGTTATTGGTATCCAGTGAAATAAGATTTTTTCAGATATATTGTCTCTGTTTAGCCTTGAATTAATTTTTTCAATTCCTAGTTATCTTTTAAATATTCTGTTTGAGCAATGAAAAACAACGGAAATTGATGCGTTTTCCATGCAATGTTCAAAACTACAGTAAAATTTGATTCTTTGCTACCACTTATATAGGAAATAATGTTGCTCTTTTGGATAGGTACTGGTGCATGGGAAAGTGCGCTTACAAACACTTTGTCTCCTGGTGATCGAATTGTATCTTTCCTTATTGGCCAATTCAGTTTGCTTTGGATTGATCAACAGCAGCGCCTCAAGTTCAACGTCGATGTCATTGAAAGTGATTGGGGTCAAGGTGCAAATCTTGAAGTTCTGGCATCAAAACTAGCAGCAGACACTGCTCATACTATCAAGGCCATTTGCATTGTGCACAACGAGACAGCAACTGGAGTTACGAACAACTTGGCTACTGTGAGAAAATTACTGGGTAGGCACTTATTTAGATCACATTATGTGGAGTTAGTGGATTAATACGTCTCATCTCTTGATTCCTAAAGATGATTTTGATTACCAATATTTTGCTTGGCAATTGGATTGATCCAATTTTAATGTACAGTAGGTATATATATAACCCAAAGTGAGTATAAATTGATGCCAACTTGCAATCTACCTTAAAACTTGGATTAGGTTTGATGATCGATTGTCTTCTAGCCATTGACAATGCCTAATTTCTGAGGAGATAATGCCCAGTTCTGTTAGGTTAAATGGGACATAAAGTATGCTGCTGAAGGTATATTAATTAACAGTATCTATATAAGCATTTATGCAATATAATACTTGCATATGATCTAATATGACAGTCTCATGTTAATCAAATGCTATGTTTCCTCATCCATTCTTAACTAAAGCATCACTTGTTAAAGAACACACTCCGTTTGGCTTCTCTTTATTGGAGAGGGAGGAGGTGCTGATTGGTCGTAAGCCCTTCTAGCCATGGGGAATTCAGGATGGTTTTATGTCACGTTCACATTTAGCAATGACTCAGGTAAGCTTGTACTAAAAATCGTTGCCTCTATTAGTAAACAATGTCGAGGCCCAGAGGTTTCAAGATCAAAAGTAGATGAATAAGTTCGAGCAACTCCATGGATAATCAGTGAATTTCCATCTGGACTTTTCTAGAATATTATTTGACCATTATTAGTGGCACCTTGTTTTTTACGTTGTAAACAAATCAATTTTGGTTTTCATTCTTAGTTTTTTTATACATGCATTGTTTATCTGTTTATAAAACTATGCAATTATATTGTCTAAAACCTGTCTGTGACGGGGCTGGTGACTATTACTTATTAGCTTCCGGTGGCTTCCTCTAAGAAATGGTCTTTTATCATTTTCCTTCGTTGTACTTGTGGAAGGACAATGCATAAAATTTTCAAACAAAAAGTTTGCATTTGGTTGCATTTTCCACGGTTTGGATAAATTTTCAAGTAATGGTTTACGAGCACTACTTATTGTTGAAGTGCTAACAGATACCTGGCTAGGGCATACCATAGTCTCGACATGGATTGTACTTGAGCTTCTGCAATTACATTGTATAGCATCATTCTCTGTCACTTTGTAATCAGTGTTTTATTAAATGTAGGAAATCTACCCTTTACTTGACTTTGAAGTAGATTTTACTTGCGTAAATAACTGCTATTGATTTTTGACCTGTTGATGCATATCTTATTGTTGGCATAGAAGCCTCTCTCATTTGTTACACCTAGATTATATTCAAGTTTTTGTAATGTTTCATTCCCCCTTCTGTGGACAGCTATGGGGCTTTGCTTTTCCTTTCGTGTACTATTTCACCTGTCTGGATTTAAGATAATTCTTATGCACAACTCTCAGATTACTACCAGCATCCAGCACTCTTTCTTGTTGATGGGGTTTCCTCAATATGCGCACTTGACTTCCGCATGGATGAATGGGGTGTGGATGTGGCTTTAACTGGCTCTCAGAAAGCTCTTTCTCTTCCCACTGGAATGGGAATTGTGTGTGCCAGTCCCAAAGCTCTCGAGGCCACCAAAACTGCGAAATCAGTCAGAGTTTTCTTTGACTGGAATGATTACTTGAAGTTCTATAAGTTGGGAACATTTTGGCCATACACTCCTTCCATCCAACTGCTATATGGGCTAAGGGCAACTCTGGATCTCATTTTTGAGGAAGGTCTTGACAATGTTATTGCAAGGCACCACCGCCTCGCCAAAGCCACAAGGTATGCAACTTTTCTTCTTCGGTTAAGTTTTGAGCTTTTGGAGGAGTCTCAATTATGCTTTAACTACATTACAGTATACATAAGCTGATTTTATCATGACTGAGCATTCCAAACAGATAGTGCAACCTAGTTCACGAGTTGCCTCCTCAAGGTTTGGGGAGGATTAGGTGTACTTTTTACCCTTGCATTGCATGGAAGAACCAAAATTTTGTTTCTTTTCCACCAAAATGACCGGAACGTTTTCATTTTCATGAAAATTGAAACGGATTAGTGATGGAATATCGAATTGCAATATTTAGAGGTGTTTATATTTCCAAGCCGACAGAAACTATGCATTGTGATTCAAATGCATGATGCTCAGGTCATAATGGAACAAACTTACTGTTGTGCCAAGGTCATAATGCATTCTACTTTGATATGCAGACTTGCTGTGGAGGCATGGGGCCTGAAGAACTGCACCCAAAAGGAGGAATGGTTCAGTGACACGGTCACTGCTGTGGTTGTTCCTCCATATGTTGATAGTTCAGAAGTTGTTAGAAGGGCATGGCAGAGATACAACCTAAGCTTAGGTTTGGGCCTGAACAAAGTAGCTGGAAAGGTTTTCAGAATAGGACATCTTGGCAACTTAAATGAGGTATAGTCGCATTTCTTACATTCTATGTCACTGATAATTGTGAATTTTGAAATGCAAATCCGCAAGATGACATGTTACAATGATTGTGAAAAGAAATGGTTTGTGGACTGTAGATTAAGAGTAGAACTGGGGCTCCTAGATGAACCGAGTTAGTTCTTAAATTCCCAACTAACTTCAAGAACATGTTTTCTGACTATTTTTGTCGCTGCAATGTTCCTTGATAAATACTAGAAATGATTATGTTCATAAACTGGAGTCGTTAGTCACCTTTGCTCCATCCTATCTTACGAGGCAACAGTAACGCCAAAGTTGCTTAATTTGCTCTGCCCAATAACTTCTTGAACAATTATACCCAACCATTCCTCAATGTACGTGAATTTTCTTTTTGGTGTTTTTTATCTGCTCCTATATGCACATAGGAAGCAATGACAGCCAAAACATTCGATCACTTTAACATAAGTACTAGATAATTACATTTGTGTTACATTTCTTGTTGAAACGACTAAAAATTTGACACCCTGGTATAATTAATGCAGGGGATGATGTTATAATTTATCGAAAAATGTAAATATATCCCTTCCGGAACTAGTTTTTTCTTTTGAAAATTCGTTGCCTAATACATTTATCGTGTAATTTTTTGTATTTTCCGTAGTTGCAACTGCTGGGCTGTCTTGCTGGGGTGGAGATGATACTTAAGGATGTTGGTTACCCTGTGAAGCTTGGCAGTGGGGTTGCAGCTGCTTGTGCATTTCTACAAAACACAATTCCTATGATTCCATCCAGGATATGATTCCCCATCCATGCTTGTAACTACTTTTGCCTGTCATTTGCTTCAGGATACTTTGAAAAAATTGCATAATCTCCTCTCTCTTTGCACTCTTTGAGGCATACTAAATTACTTGAAGTACTATGTTTTTTGGGTTATCCTGTATAAATCTTAAATTCATTTGAATGTTGTTTATCCTGTATTTGATTCCGAGTCACTTCGCAGTGGATGACTTGCGGGAGAGGGGATTAGTCGAGATACGCGTAAATACCATATTTACTATGTCTCAAAAGTTGTTGAAGTGATCTCTTCATCCANAAAAAATTGCATAATCTCCTCTCTCTTTGCACTCTCTGAGGCATACTAAATGACTTGAAGTACTATGTTTTTTGGGTTATCCTGTATAAATCTTAAATTCATTTGAATGTTGTTTTTCCTGTATTTGATTCCGAGTCACTTCGCAGTGGATGACTTGCGAGAGAGGGGATTAGTCGAGATGCGCGTAAATACCATATTTACTATGTCTCAAAAGTTGTTGAAGTGATCTCTTCATCCATAGCATTTCTTGGCTGCTTAGAGGTGGCAAATAGGTGGGTTAGGTTGGGTTAAATTGGGTTGGACAAAAATAAATCCAATATATTTTTCACTTACGTAGTAAATGAGCTACAGTGGGTTGAGTTTATAATAGATTGAATTAAACTCATTAACTTATAAAATAATTAAAATTCTTAATAGACACGTTAGTACACTAATACATACACATTAGTAGTACACCAAAATACAAATATTAACACACACACTAATACACCAAAACACACAAACTATACACTAAAAATATATATACTAATACAAAAAAAATACACACACATATACTAACACAAAATCTAAAANTTATAAAATAATTAAAATTTTTAATAGACACGTTAGTACATTAATACATACACATTAGTAGTACATCAAAATACAAACATTAACACACACACTAATACACCAAAACACACAAAATAATACACTAAAAATATATATACTAATACAAAAAAAATACACACACATATACTAACACAAAATCTAAAACACATTTAATAAAAAAAATACACATAATGGGCCGGGGTCAATTGTGGGCTATGGGTCATGGGTCAACCCATATGTCATGGGTGGTGTATTAGTGTGTATGTTTTTGATGTGCTAGTGTGTGTATATTTTAGTATATTAGTATATATGTGTATATTTTTTAGTGTAATAGTGTGTGTGTATTTTTTGAATATATTAATATATTTATTTAATTTTATTACTTGTGTTATTTAATAAAAAAGTAAATACTCAACTCAATGGGTACCTATTGATAATCCATATTAACCCGCTTAATTAAAATGAATCATATTACTCAACTCATTTAGAATCTGTATTAATTAATATAAGTATCTAACCCATATATTTATGAAATAGTTGAAGAAATGAGTTAAGATTATCACCTCTTCGGTAACATTAATGCACTCGGTCCCAGTCGTAGACAAAGAGATACGCTCTTGCAATTTCGATTGCCATGAAACATCTCCCCTACATATCCTTATGGGGTTACCTTTAAGGCCACCTTGGTCCAACATGCAAATGCACAGCCTTTGGCTTTCCACCATTCCCAATCAATTTAGATGGGATTCAATGATCTACGTTTGATAGATTGTGGTCCATTTACGCCTTAATGAACCATGATACCACAAGGTGAGACTATAATGTTAGTGCAAGACAGGGACAAAGCTAGAATTTTTTTTTATTCAACGAACAGAGGTATTTGGATCAACTTATGCACACCTCGATTAATTTCTTCTTCGATTTGGTCAAAAATATGTTATCCACGCTAGAAACTAGGGTATTTAGGAGGGGTGAATCCTTCATGGTTTGATCTTAAGGATTGTCAAGATTCAAATTCAGAACATCTGAGTTTATATTTCGTCTTTCTTACCATTTGAACTATCCCTTAAAATTAGGCTAAAATTTTCATTTCGAGACAGCTAAGGTTCTTCTCAATATATATATATATATATATATATTTTTTGGAGGAGGTAGTGGAAAGGAAGGATGAGTTGAACTCTTGATCTCAAGTATATAAAGTTTTTACAAGATAAAGAGTACTATTAGACCAATGACCTGTTGATTCTTCTCAATATTACGTGTAAGATAAAATCAAAACTTTGTAAACTAAACTCCTTTAAACAAATTTTATGACAATATAACATACCAGATGGAAAAAAAGAAGAACTTCACAATAAGATAGACTTTGAGCTCCAAGTTTCCAAAAGAATCCATTGTCCTAGAGTTATAATTTTTAAAAATTTGGGAGACTCTATTAGAATTTAAATGATGGAATTTATTTGTTGGGTGACATCTATTATATAAAATAGGGTAAACTTCAATAAACTTATTCAAAAGTTTTAAATAAATTCATTCAACGGCCACTAACATCTCTCTTAAAACTATTCACATTAAATTTTATATTCCTCTCCTAATTTTTTACTCTCTTTCTATGATTTTCACTCCTCACCTTTTTAAAATAATCGGTTGATTTATGTTGTACGGTATCTTTAAACACAAGTTATCCATATTGATATGATAGAAGATGATGGTATTTTCCTAGGTGGGGCTTGCTCATTCAAGGAAAATGATTCCCATGGCTTGCCCATGGAGCAAATTTTAATGGGGCTTTAGAGAGTTGCCCATAGATTCAGACCTAATGGGCCTATCAACATGATATAATTAGAATTATTATTATTATTTTTTTGGGAAATTGTAAGGGTACATAAAATTGAACTTAATTGTCAAAAAGTACCTAACTTTTTATATTAAGTAATTAAGTTTTTAATTTTAGAATTTAATTGTGTTCAAATATAAAATTTAAAATTTTTAGATTTTTCTTTGATATTTGTATCCTCCTTTAAATCATGCAATTTTTTTTGGGAACAATTTTTTTTTTTTTTTAGTTTATATGTTTGTATTAAAACTTTCCTAAATTAAAGTAAGATTTGATTCGTCTGTTTATTATGTGTATTCCAGACAATTTAAATTTTAAATTTTATCACATTATCATTGGTTGTCTTCTTCTTCTTCGATGTTGAAGCCATTATCAGTGCAAAGCTGAAATATAAGTTTATCCTTATTATTCAATCTCAGTAATTACCATATTTGAATTCATGACACCATTGGGTTTTTGTTGGTCATTTTAACGGTGATTATTCCCTTTTTTTTCATAGTTATTTATCTCATTCAAGAACACCACAATAGTTGTTCTTGTAAGCCATAATGTTTTTTTACTTTGTTACCCACCGCTCCAAAACTTTATCATCGGGTGTTTTTCCACATTGTTTTAAGACATTATTTGTTTTTGTTAGTTACCCACTCATGCGTAGAAATTACCTTTTTTATATTTTTTTCCTAGTTTTCATTTTGATCTAGGAGCACCGTGTTGGATGATGTTTTCATGTACTAGAACAATGTTGTAATATAGATGTTTTCATGCACTAGAACAATGCTGTAATACAGTGTTACAATAAGTTGCTATACATCATTAACCTAAAAATGTATCAATACAGTGTTATAATAACAATTTGAGAATGCAAATTCTAAGTTTCTAATTATTCTGTAACTACAAACAGAAATTTAACAAAACCCGTGATTTACCCAAAATCACAAAAACAAATTTAGAAAACAAACCCATGTTCAATAATACAAAATAGTTTTTGAAATTATAAGAGGTTGGTTCATAATTCAACTATAAAGTGAATTAATATATTGTTACCACAAAATTTTATACGATACAAATCCCTAATTTCAAGTGTTTTAACATACAAAATCAACAAATCACAAAATGTAGTTTGCTCAAAAAAAAAAAATAACAAAAAAAAAAAATCAGTACAAAAAATCATCAAAACCACGGAAAAAAAGGTGATCGTAGTAGTGTTCAATGCTTTAAGAAGCAATTACACGGAAAAAAAAAAAGGTTTTGAACACCATTTGAAGTCAAAGTCAATCTCATTCTTCAGTTCTACTCTCCGGCAGAATACCCAAATCGGAGTTGAAGCATCTGTTTTACTTTGGCAGAACACACAACTTGGAAGGTCAAGAACTTGATTTTTGACAACCCACTGCAACCATCAAGGCTTTGTATCTAAGAACCCAACTTTTTTGTTCGGATTTTTCTGAACGACTTGATTGTATTTTCGCCGGTTGTTTTGTTCGTGATTGCCGAATTTGAAGCGTTGTGCTTTGATGGGTACACCAATTTAATTGGAATGTATTTAATTTTTGTTTTATTTCTTCCAAATCTGATTTAGGAAACTGCTGCATATTGAAAGGGTAGTCATGTCTTTCTAACTCAATAGAAGACTTTTTAACAAAACATTTTTTACTATGAACTTATTCTAATTTGGTTTATCGGCCTCCCAAAGACCTTATTTTTTTGGTTGAACTATAAATTTTCATTGAAAAAAGAAAAGAAACAAACGTTTACGGTATTACTTTACCCTCTTTACCCAATACCCATTCTAGCCTCTTTTGAGAGGATTTGCATCATCTGGAAGAAATGTCAGCCAGTTTGGAGACGACAAGCTCTGTCTGGCAAGCGTAGCCAGTGTATGAGCCACTGCATTGCAAGATCTCCCTGTGTATTTGAAACAAACTTGACCTATGCTCTTTGCATAACACCATATATCCTGTTGGACAGCTTCGATGTCTCTTATGACTGCCTTTGCCCCTTGATTAAAGGAGTCAATAATGACCTTCGAGTAAGATTCTAGAATAACATCCCTGTAGCCTTCGCTTAGTGCCACTGAATAGGTTCTTTGCACTGCGGAAGCTTCAGCTGCCAACGCTAAGGAAACTGTTGTAATTGCTGCAGCTCCAGCAACAAGCAGTCCTTCATGATTACGTGCTACAAGGCCCGCAACTGCGAAGGATGCACTGCAACTCTTCCCACAAAAGGCTCCATCACAGCAGGGCCGGCCTTATTTTTAGGCCAGCAAAGCCCAGGCTTTTAGGCCCCATAATTTATAATTATGACCACTAATCCAAAATAAAAATTCAATTCTATAAAAATTGAAACCTAATAAAAAAGTTAAAAGTTAGATTTAAATTAAATAGTTTGAACTTATTTCTTCAGCCCATGTACCAAAAAAATTGTTAAAAAAATATATCTATAGAAGTGATGTACAGTTGTAAGAGATATTTTTATATCACACTTCTCAATATATTCTTCTA